ACCCAAGTTCGAGCTCCTCTGGGAATTAGGAAAACAGCTGGGACCTCAGCAGGTGGAAAGCGTTCCACAGAGAGTCCGCATCAATGCCTGGGGTCAGAGGTCAGCTGGCCACATTTGAGTCAAAGGCTGGTCAGCAGATGGAGGTTGGCAGGGTTCTAAGCCCAATAACAGGGGCATGTTTTGGTGAATGTCACTGTGACGTGAAGGTTTCAGTCCCCTGGGGGTGACACATCCGTGCCTTCTCATCAGCAGAGCTCCACGGAATCCAGCAGTCTGCAGAGGAGGGCAGGAGAGGATTGCAGAGGAAGATAGGGTTGGTGGGGCCCCTCTCTTGCCTGGGTGTGACAGGAAATCTATGGAGTGGCAGTAAGAAAGGGTTTTGAGGTCAGATGGAGCTGCGTTCCAGCCCAGGTTTACGCTGGGTAGGTTTATGACCTTGGATGGCATTCCTTAAACACAGAGGCCACAGTCTCCTCATCTCTAAAATGGGATAGTGGAACCCAAACCTCTGAGACTCTGGGAGATGAATTGAGAAATGAAGCAATTGGCACACAGTAGGTCTCTCTCTTAAGCCCCCCGCCAGCCTCCCTGGGGGAAAGTGTGTACTTGTCATTGGAAAGCTCCAGGCAGCCTTGGACAATGTGTATGTCTCATTTGTAAAAAGCTTTTTATTTAAAAAAAAAATTGTAAGTGGAAAAGGGACTGAAGTGCTTGGCCTGAGGTTCTGATTGAGCTGTTTGGGCAGTGGAAGCTGAGTGGTCAGAGCAGGCCCAGGTGCTGGCGTTGCCTGTGAAGTGGGCTGACTCACTGCAGGGTCTAGCCAGACCTTCGCTTTGCCTCCTTCCGTATAGTGGCCAGCAGGGTATTTGGAACCTGAGCCTGTCATCCATTTGTCTGATGCTCGGGCCAGTTTGGTGGGGCTGCGGTAACCAAGGACCCCGGACTGGAGGGATTAAAGAACAGACTTTTATTTTCTCACAGTTCTGGAGTCTGCAAGTCCGAGATGAAGGTGTCAGAGGGATTCCTTCTGAGGCCTCTCCCCGTGGCTTGCAGATGGCCGTCTTCTGCCTGTGTTCTCCCACGGCCTTCCCTCCGTGTGTCTGTGTCCTAACCTCTCTTCTTATAAGGACATCAGTTGTATTGGACCAGGGCCCACCCTGATGACCTCATTCAACTCCACCGCCTCTTTAAAGGCCCGATCTCCAAATACAGTCACACTCTGAGAGGCTGGGGGTTGGGGCTTCCACATAGGAAGTTGTGAGAGACACAACCCAGCCCAGAACCGTGTGCTCGCTCCTCTGCCAGCACCTGGGCTCTGGGAATGCAGACAGACGTGAGGGAGACGCCAGCCCTCCTATTGCTTAAGTCATCAGTGTTCTCCTGCTGCCCAAACTCAGCAGGAGCATTGAGACCCAGGCTTTGCCCCTCTCCAACATGGACCCCCAGGCACCCTGAGCCCCGGGCAGGTCAAACCTCTGTCAGGCCCCACAGTACGCTGGACACGCCGCCCAGCATGGTGCCACGGATGGTGGGACCCAGGGCAAGCCTGACTTTCCCAGGCCAGAGCCTGGCAGGGCGGAGAAGGCTTGAAGAAATCGTTTCACTTTTGCTTTCTTCCACTGGGAATGTTCCAGGAAACTCCCTGGTCCTCCCAACTCTAAAACTCCACCTGAGGCTTTATCAGTTCTCATTGAAACCTTTCCTATTCAGAGGGCAGATGGCTTGTTGACTCTTTAGGAATAAGGTTGCGCTTGTGCAGGGAACATGCCAGAAGGATGCACGTGGGACCCTCAGTGGCTTCATTGCCCCTTCACGCGCCAGCATTTTGCTTGGTTTTAAAGTAGACAAATCCACAGGGTGTGTGTTCACCACCCAGGCCCGGCTTGGAGGATGGGCTTTGCTTACAGCTTCGTAGCTCCTGCCGACTCAGCCTGTGAGCAGCGGGGCGCACGTCCATATTTGCTTAAGATTTTAGTAGAAATAACATATTAAAGATAAAGATGAAGTCCCTACATTCTCCTTCCAGTTCCCTCACTCTTTCCCTGGAGTTTATCACCACCATGAACTTTCTCTGAGTCAGTCCTGGTTTTATCACACACACACACACACACACACACACACTCAAATAATATATGTACACAATACAAACATACAGATACGTGTATATAATATATACATATAGATATTTGTGTGTACATGCCCATGTATATCCAAAAATTCACAAAATATGGTTTATGATGTAAAATTTACTTAAATGGTACAATGAGCATAGTATTCTACAACTTGCTTTTTTTTTTCTTGCTTTTTTTTTTTTTTAAGCCCAGCATGATTTTGAATTTTATTTATGTTGACACTCACATAGCTCTAGCTCATTCCTTTTACCGGCTGTATACTGTTCTACCCATGACCATCCCATGACTTACTTACTGATTAGCCCTACTGTTAGCCGTTTGGGTTGTGCCCATGGGCAGGTTAGACCAAACCCAGGATTCAGTATGAACCACAGTCAAGTTGCATAAGCAGTTCCTGTTCCTCAACTTTGGGGTGCCTGCCCCTCAAGCTCTTTAGCACAAAGCAAGTGTTGTGATGCCTCGTGATGTCAGTCCTTGCTGTCACTTCATCTCAAGTCTTGGTACAGCGTCAGTGTGTTTTGGCATCTCCTTCGGCCCGGCCTTCTGCAGCTGGGAAATGCTCTTATATGGTGGGGTGACTAACCTGAGAACGACATCAGGGACCCCGAGGGGCTCGGCATCACTGGGCTGAGTCCCAGCGGGGCGCGCGAGCACGCAGAAGTCCTTCCCGTAGTCCCTGGGCTGTGCCCCAGAGGGAACTCCGCAGGGGGGGGGGGGGCGCATGTGGCTCCTGCCAGAGAGAGCCAGGCCTCCCCTCCGAGGGCGGTTATTTTTATCTGAAGCTCGGGCTTCGTCAGGACCCTGGAGAGTTTCCAGGGTTGGGATGAGAACTGCCTCTTTCCCAGAGCAACTGGCCTCTGTTCTGCCTCCTGGGATTCCCCGTTCTACTGTCCAGGCTCCCGGCTCCCGGCTCTGCTCCTCCCCTCCCTGCTCCACTCTGTGTCTTGCCCCTGAGGGTGTCCTCCTCTGGCTGCCATCTTTCGGTCCCAGCCAGCGCGACTGCTGAGCACCTGGTTGTCACTAACGAGCCTTGTTGAGGAGATCAAGCCTATTAGGGTTCCAGGTGGGCTAGCACTGAGGCACGGCCTGCAGCCTTCCCATCCAGGAGCCCCACCCTCCAGCTCCCTGTGGCATCCTCAGACAGCCTGTCCCACCGGATCGGGGCTGTGGCTTTCCTTGCCTATCTCCCCAGCCGGACTGGGAGCCCCTTGAGGCCAGGGACAGTGTCCTCTTCATCTTCATGTCCCGGGTTCCAGCCCAAAACAGGCGCTCAGTGAAGGTCATCAGGTGACTGACAGCTCTCCCCGGGGAGAACGCAGAGGTGGAGAGAGACGTAAATGAACACACTCGCTCAAGCCCTGCTTTGCCTTTTTGGACCAGGCGATAGCCAGGAGGCGGGTCACAGTTTGCGTGCCTTTCGTGGAGGTGAGACCTCTGGCCTCCAGGGAGAGGGGAGCCAGGGTAGCATGAGCGGAAACCCTGGACCCTCAGAGTCACCACACCTGGCGTCAAGTCTCAGCATCTGCACTCACTAGTACAGCAGCCCTGGGCTCGTTGCGTCTCCGCAGCTTACCTATCTGTAAAATGGGAGTGATGACAGACCACCAGATGGATTGCCCTGGGACTGGAAACGATGTGAATGAAGTGACCGGGTCCTTGTAGCTGCTCAGGAAGAGTTTTTAGAAAGAACAAAAGGCACAGAGGGGATTCACCTAATGGATTGGACCTTGGGATTTTAAAGCTAGTCGGTGTATTCGAAGACTAAGGCAGCTCTTCATAACACGAGTGCCAGGGAAGAAAGGTTCGGAAGAGGATTAGCCTGGAGTAGGGACTTGCAGCCTAAAGGCTAGGAAGGACCTCCGAGACCCTGGTGGGTCATAAAAGTGAGAGAGCGTTCTTCCCTGCAGCCGGCACTCTGGCTCTCTGAGAGGGATGATGTGTCCCCCCAGCCCGCAGGCCTGACAGGTGTCAGAGTGAGGGTTCCAGGAGCGTGCTTTGGGACGTGCAGCTCTGTGATGGTGCCCTGAAGGTTGGGGAGCCCCAGCCCGCCCTCTCTGTCCCCTCACATTGCTGTTGGTTTTGCCAACCTACAATAGTCACCATCCTGATGTGTGCGTCGGGTACTGATTACCCGTGGGAACCACTAACCCAGCAGCCAAAAGGGTAATGTCTGGCAGTGTCTGGAGTAGACCATGTGCTTGGTTGTTGAGCAGGTTTGCCAAACAGGCTCAGGGGGTCAAAGTGGGGTACACAGCCCCCCTTGGAGGTCCTCCCTCTATGTTGACTCCTGAGCAGGCAGCTGGGTTCCTGGCTGGGGTTGGGTGACATGTGGGAGTGTTGGCGACTGTGTGGGCCATGATAAGAGGAGCCGTCTGCCATGTGGAGTCTGGGGGTGCCTGTTCACCACATTTGGCAAACTGAGTCCACCTTCACGGGGACAGGAGCATTGGTTCAGGGCAACTCCTTTGGCGATGTGAATGACCTTATAAATCTCTATTGGAAGCAGGAGCTGGAACTTAACCCAGTCATAGACCCACCTGAGTCCTGAATGAGGAGAAATGCTGACTCGCAATGAGAAAAGATGGGACAGGGAACTTGGGTCCAGGAGAGACTGTGCCAGGATGTCCTGTGTGGAGTTCGGCCAGCTGGCCTTGCTGAAAACCCTCTGCTTGAGTCCCAGCTCTGCCATTTCTTGTCGGTGGGACTTGGGTTACTTAGCTTTTGTGAGCCTCAGTTTCCACATATGCAAAGTGGGGGCAAATACTATCTACTCCAATCACTGCTGAAGCCAATACCTGAGCTGGCTTAGTACTGACCGGCGCCCCGCCCCCCCCCCCCCCCCCCCCCCCGCCCTCTGCTTCCTTTCAGAGCCTGAGCCCCCAGCTCTGCCCAGGAGCCCAGGCTGCCCCGTGGCCCCAGCACCGGCTGCAGGAGAGGAGCCATGAGCTGCGTCCCGAACGGCCTCGCCCCCCTGGGGCTGGTGCTGCTGCTCTGCGGAGCCCAAGGCTTCTTCCTGCCCAACGTCACGCACTTGGAGAAGCTGCTCAGCAAGTACCGGCAGGACGGGCCGCATGCGCGGGCCCGCAGGGCCATCCCCCGGTCGGACCAGGAGGAGATCCTCATGCTGCACAACAAGCTGCGGGGCCAGGTGCACCCCCCGGCCTCCAACATGGAGCACATGGTGAGTGTGCATGCCCTGCTTTGTGCTCAGTCCCTGTTGTGGGGCAGGCTTGGGGTCCGGGGAGGCAGAGGGGCCCCTGCCTTGTTCTCCGTATCCTGCCAAACAGCTCCCGTGAGCAGAGGCCGCCTTCTCGCCAGCAACTCTGCCGCCTCCCTGAGCTCAGCCCTCCTGCTGCCCCGAAGCTTCCAGAGGTGGAGTGGGGGGGGGGGGCGCTCGGGGCTGGGCTGCCGCCTCCTCCCTGTGTGGCCTGGACACCACCAGCCTGAGCCTCAGTTTCCACTGGGAGCATCCTGTGCTGCCACGGTTCCTGGGACAACTGAGCTCAGACCTCACCCCGGGCTGTGGGTTACTGTGGTTACTGTGGCGGCCTGGTCCTCCTCCGGCCCCTTCTCTGTCCGAGAGGGTGTGGCCGAGGCCGTGAGATACGGTGTCTTTGGGAGGGAGAAGGGAGAGTGTGGGGGTCCCCTCTGAATCTGGAGAAACCCCACACGTAGGAGCAGAAGGGGCAGCCTGCTCTCCCAGGTCCAGATCTCTCCCCCTCTCCCCCGTGCCTTCGCTCACCCGTTTCCATTCCTGTCAGTACCACCTCCCATTCCCCACCCCTGGGAAATAGGCGCGGTTCTTTTGCCCTTTTAATAGATTAGGAAACTGAGGCCCAAGGCCACACCGCTGGCAGTGACAGAGCCAGATTCGAACCCGAGTCCAGCTGACTCCAGGACCTCAGCCACCGCTCTGTAGCCAGTGTGTTTCCCACCCGATCTTCCCATCCTGCTCCTGTCTCGCCTTGATTAGGGCACAGCCTCAGCCCTGGGGCTTTCCCTGCCCACCTTGCCCTCATCCAGCTCGTTCTGGGTCCTGCCATCATGTTTCGCTTCCTACATCTCCACTTCCTACATCTCCTGCTCAGGAGCCTCTAGGGCCCTCTGTGCCCAGGTCGGAGCCCAATGCTTCCTGCTTGGCATCCCAGGCTCTTCTCGGGAGCCCTGTCTGTCTTGGTGACTAGTTTCCCTCCCTCCGCTTTGGCTAGAGAGGTCTCTGGGGGTCCTCTGAGGATGCTGCGTGGGGACAGCTGCCCTCCCTCCTCGAGAACACTTTGCCGTCATCACTTTCTCTGTCCACCTCCGCTGCCCCGCCCTCCTTCCCCGGGACTCAGCGGTCGCTGCCATGTCGCCTTGAGCCCTGACCTTGGTAGCACTCATGCTGGGGACCGTCCTGTGTGCCCATGTACCCATGGGCCTGTGAGCCCCTCACTGTCCCTGTATGAACCCACACTAGGCGGCCCGTCACCAGCTTAGGGCCCATGAACGGGCCACCCGTCCGGGCAGAGCCCTGAGAGCAAGACTTCAGGAAGTCATTATGAAACATTCCTTTTCTCCCTTAAGAAAACCGTCCAGGCATTTATTCCAAAGGGGGCTGTGCTAATTTTAGGAGGAAGAACGGGCACCCTTTCAAAATGCACAGGGCAGACTTTCATAAGGTCAAAGCTGTAGGAAATTAGGGTAGATTTCTTTGGGCTTTGGAAACAGACTCCTCCCCACCCTTTCCTCGGCCTGTGGGTTTGACCCTGGTTCCCATAGGGGAAGGACACGCTGCACCTTTTTCTGGACAGGTCACCCCGTGCTCTTCCCACCCCAAAGCCCCGAGTGGTGCCCGCAGGGAGTGGTATTTTCCTCAGCCTGAAGCTTATGGAGCCCCAAGCCCCAAGCCCCGGGTCCTGGCTGCCTCCCACTCTGTTGGAGCAGGCTGGGTTTCTGCTCGTCTTTTCCTAGTGGCACTGAGCTCATCGGTGATTGTATGGAAGACTTGAGGCGAGTGAAGGGAGCTGAGATAGGCAGCAGGCAAGGCCGGGCCTCCTGGACAGCCTGTGACCATCCTGCCACCTTCTCCTCTTTGTCAGCGCTGTGATACTCCAGGATTGAAGTTGGGATCTGGGTCCTTAGGTCTCCATAGCCTGCTTGTCGGAAACTGAGCCTTCGGGGGCCTTGTGGGGGACGCCTCTGTGCAGGGGCCACCTAGTAGGGAAGGCAGTTAAGGCTCAGCACCTCCACCCAGCATCTCAGGCTCAGTGCTGCCCATCTGCTCCTCTTTCCACCCGAACAAGTGGCACCGATTGAGAAAGTGTCTTGAAAACGTAGCTTCCTACTCAGCCCTGCTCGCTGAGGCTTCAGGCCACAGTCCTTTGAAATAGCCTCAGCACTGGAGGGTGAGGGTTAAAGTTCCAAAGAGTTAAGACACCTGTTTTGAGGATTTGTAAGTGAGCAGGCTCTGAAGCCAGCCTGCCTCGGTTTAGGTAGCGGCCACTTGCTGGCTGTGTGACTCTGGGCAGACTGCTTGGCCTCTCTGTTTATCGTTCCTCATGGCACAATGGTGATAGTAAAAGTGCCTTTCTCCTAGGGTTGTTTGGAGGAGTCAGTGAGGTAATGCATGATAAGTACTAAATACACGTTAACTATGCTTTTGCTGTTATTACTTTAGTAACTATTACTCATGTGGTGAGTGGGACCAGGACTTGGTGACAGCATGCAGAGAGGATGACACCCCTTGGAAGACAGATAAGACTGGGTTGTTGAAGGGCTAACTTCCTGGCTGTGTGATCTTAGACAAGTGCCATAAATAAACTTCCCTTAGCCTCTTGTTTTAATCTGTCTGCAATAATGAAAAGATAAGACACACCTCCAGGGCTGTTGTGACAATAAAAAAATGAAAATGGTGCCGATGCTCTGGCAAGTGGCAGGAGCTCAGATGATGGCAGCTCAGAGGTCCGGGGCCCAGCACTGCCTCTCACATAGCAGGTGCTTGAGGAAGTTAAAGGTGGCACTGATTACTGAGGGCCACGTTGCATCCCGCCCGAGGTGTGATGCCTGCTCTCATTCAGCCGTCCCCCAAGTCCTATTCCAGCAGGTTCTATTATCGCATTTAGAGGTAGGGATACGGAGGCACAGAGAGGTGAAGCCACTTGCCCAAAGTCACACAGCCAGCAAGGGCAGAGCCTGTGTCACACCCAGGCTCACCTGACACAAATGCTCTCACCAGTGCACCTTACTGCCCTACTCTGCCCCTTCTCCTTCCTCGAGTCATCCCTTGAGGGCTAAAGGGTGTCCACCTGCACCTTCCTTCGGAGGGACATGGACTAGTTGGAGCGCAGTGGTCACTGGGGAAGCACAGGCTGAGTGGGGGGTCGGGGGCAGGAGGGCAGGTGGGGACTGGAGGAGGTCCGTGAGGGCTGGCGTGAGCTGGGGAAGTGAGCTTCATTGTGTGTGCACTCATTCACACGTGCATTCATTCATTTACTCACGCATGCATTATTCTGGGTGACAGAGGAGACATGTAACACAGCGTGGAAAGGACACTGATCAATAGTGTCAGTTGTCAACAGCTCACCACATAGCCAGATCCGTGACTGCCAGCTCTGCATAGGAACATTGTGTGTTTGTTTTTGTTTTTTTTAATCTTTACCCGAGGATATGTTTCTATTGATTTGAGAAAAAGAGAGACAGACAGAGAGAGAGAGAGAGAGAGATGGATTGGTTGCCTCCCATAAGTGCTCCGACCCAGGATTGAATCTGCAATTTAGACGTGTCCTGACGGGTAATGCTCCAACCAATTGAGCTCCTGTCCAGTGTTGGGGAGCAGTGTTTTGAGGTCCTACTGTGTGGCAGGCATGGCTGGAGCCTGGAGGAGGGTGGGAGGCGAAGGTGGGCAGGATGAGGGTGGGCAGGATGGGGATGCTCAGCCTCCAGTGGAGGGAGGGCAGATCTGGGTTCTCGTGGCTGTGTCCTGCTGTGGGCCAGACATCAGGTCTGCGTGTCTCCAGCCAGAATGTCAAAAGCCTTAACCACCCAAAAGTCCCGCCCGGCCAGCCCTCTTTGCCCAACTCGACCTTTGTCCTCCCTGCTCCCCTCCGCTCGGAGCTGTAGGGAATGCTATGGACTCAGACCAACGGCAAGCAGGGTTCACATCGCTCTCGAGCCCAGCACAGAATACACAGTGAGCTTCTGAGAAGCCCGTGACCTTCAGGGTGGGACTGGCACCCGCCCAGGCTCTGCCCTGCCTCTCTGGACACTGGGAAGGGCCTCAGCTGGGCACCTCCAGAGGGGTCTTGTGCGTGTGCCAGCTGCCCTCATCCCCGCTGCCCACCTCTCCCCTGCTTGGAGATGAATGAGTCACTGACTTGGTGCAGGTAGCTTATTTGGGGGCTGACCCATGAGTCTGGGAGACAGGAGGGAGGAAGTGCACTTGGGGGGGTTCAGGTGGGGTGAGACCTGCTGGGATCTGCTGAGTGAAGGGAGCAGCAGGCGGTCATCCTCCTGAAGGCGGGAGGTGGGTGTGCTTATCCACAGGCCTGTCCCCATTGGCTGAGGGTGGTCCTGGGAGGGTTGACCACCCCTCATCCCCATTCCGGCTTTGCTTGGACATGGGAGAGACCCCAGGCAGAAGCAGCTCAGGGCTTGGTGGCATTGAAGGTGGGATGCTGTTGGCGAGGGATGAATCTGAGGGTCCGCAGATCAATGGGAGGGGAGTCAGGGTGTGAGGCATACCCAAGGGCAGGACTTGCTCCGGGTATGAGGAGTCCTGGCAGTCTTGGCCGGAAAGGGCAGCAGGACAGGAGGAGCGGGAAGCACAGCCTTGGACATTCCATCCTGGGGCCTCGCAGTCGGTTTAAGCCGCCTCTTCCTGGATAGGCCCGGGGGCTCTACCCAGACAGCCTTTCAGTGGGCACCTACTGCGCGCCAGGGGCTGGGGCCACGTGGGGCGGGGACGCCCTGCCTGCCCGTGAGCAGGTGCATCTGTCCAGGGACCGGGCAGGGGCCGCGCAGCAGCTGGTTCGGAGGGCCACCTGGTGTCTGCTCCTCCTCAGAGAGAAACGACCCTTTGCTTTGTTCCCCGTTCTTTCCCTGGGAGTGACGTGTGTTCCCGGCACCAGCTGGGATGCAGGGCCGGCTGCGGAGCCTGTCTGCAGACTCTGGCCCAGGCCCTTACCCCAGCCCCCTGGGTTTAGGTTGGGTCAAGATTAAGGTGACCAGACATCCTGCTCTTGGTGGCACAGTCCTGATTTTTTTTTAGCAATTTGTCCTGTGTCCCGTGGCGTTTTTAAAAAAGTCCCGATTTTTGGAAAGAATCTTAAAATGCCACGGGACTGTCCTGCCAAAAGCGGGATGTCTGGTCACCTTAGTCATGATGCCAGAGGAGAGCAGGGCTGGGCAAGTTGAAGACATTTCTTGATACTTACACACACACACACACACACACACACACACACACATAACACAGAATTTGCCAGTTCAGCTCCTTTAAGTACACTCACACTGTTGGGTGGCCATCACCACCATCCCTCTGCAGGACGTATCCACCCCTGTTTCACAGGGGAGGAGACTGAGGCTGGGAGAAGGGATTTACCCAAGGCCCCCGGCAGGTTACAGGTGGAGCAGGAGCTCGGAGGGCAGCTGTGGATCGGGCTCCTCCGGGCCCCTGGCCGACCTGCCACTCCCACTGCGGAGTGAGGAACTCCGTGGAGCTGTTCACGCGGCCCGCCCGGAGCCTCGGTGGGGGGCGCCGCCGCAGTGTGGGCGTCCCCGACTCTGAAGGTGCCGTCTCTCCTCCCCCCGCAGACCTGGGACGAAGACCTGGCGAGGTCGGCAGCGGCGTGGGCCCACGAGTGCATCTGGGAGCACGGGCCCACCAGCCTGCTGGTGTCCATCGGGCAGAACCTGGCCGTGCACTGGGGCAGGTAAGAGCCGCCGTGGCCCGCCCCCCCCTTTACGTGTGAACTGCCGTTATCACACGTAGCCCTCGTGGTCACGCACTCAGAGGGCGGGAGACCACCCCTGCCGTTGGCGGCGGGGGAGACAGACGCTCTGTGCCCGGGAACACTCCGAGGAATGGGCACAATGGATGTGAGCCCGATGGCTGGCTCCAGACGCCGACCAATAGACTCCAGAGCGTGGGCTTTCCATTCCCTCTCCTCGGAAGGGCTTCTGGGGCGGTTGCAGCCGGCCAGGAAGGAGCTGGCTGGGCACGCTGGGAAGATGGGAATGTTCGCCCCTTTAGTGGTGGGTCCGTACCGTCTCCTCTGCCCCAGCACGTCTGGGTCCTGATCACTCTTTTTTTTTCCCCCCAAATATATCCCATTGATTTTTAAGAGAGGAAGGGAGAGAGAGACAGAGAGCCAGAAACGTCGATGAGAGAGAAACACCGGCCAGCTGCCTCCTGCACAACCCCCCACCGGGAATGCGCCCACAACCAATGCACATGCCCCCGATTGGAATCGAACCCGGACCTCCCAGTCCGCAGACCGATGCTCTACCACTGAGCCAAACCGGCCCCGGCCTGATCACTCTTTAAGGCCCAGCCAGGTTCTACCTCGTGGGCAGGCGTCCCTCACCGCCCCCCTTGTCCAGCCATGGAGGGGCTCCTTCACACCGCTGAACCCCCAAGGCCTCCTGGCCTGGCAGTGCCTTGCCCTTGGGATGTACTTGACAGTGGACAGTTGATTGTCATTCCCTGGCCTTCCCCAAAGTCAACTGGGCCACGGACACAGGCACGCAGCCCGGTTGACAGTCCCCTCCAGGCTGGGGCTGGCTTCGTCAGAGAACGCGGAGAGAACGCCTCTTGACCAGCATGCTGTGCCAATGGCTCTGCATCGGACCCAGGGAGGCCCGGGCCTCAGGTCCGCCTTCCTTTTGTCCAATCATCGGTAAAGCTGAACAGGACTTGAAATATCCCCTCGAAACACAGGTCAGGCGTTGCTTGACTTCACCCCTGACATTTTTCAGCTGCTGCCGTTCCGGAGTTCCACCGGGCCACGAGCTGCTCGCGTTCCCTCTGGGCTGCTCCCTCTCAGGACAAACCTGGGCAGGTGTCCGCTGGGTCGGGAGAGACATGACTTCATGGAAGCAGATCCACGGGGCACCCTCTCCTCCGGGGGTTCTGCTTTCTGTAACGTCAGCCCGCGGTGGCCCGGGACGGCACATCTGCGGGGGAAGCATCCATCCTCCCGTCGCCGCCGGCTGCGGCTCCTCTCAGTTTCCGGGCGCCCGTGTAGCCTTTGGCTGCCGGCCGGCATATTTCGACGCAGTTGTAACTGTGGCCAGGACAGCTCTTAATTCATTTTCCCCCTTCTCATACAATACCAAACAGTTTCCCTGCTGCATAGTTGTCATGGTTAGCGTCTCCCAAGGCTGCCTCTGGGCTAGCAAGTGGACAAGCCGCATTTAGCCATCCTGTTCTTTTTAAAAAATATATATTTTTTAATAGATTTTTTTTACAGAGAGGAAGGGGGAGAAGATAGAGAGTTAGAAACATTGATGAGAGAGAAACATCGACCAGCTGCCTCCTGCACACCCTCTACTGGGGATGCGCCCGCAACCAAGGTACATGCCCTTGACTGGAATCGAACCCGGGACCTTTCAATTGGCAGGCCGACGCTCTATCCACTGAGCCAAACTGGTTTCGGCTAGCCATCCCGTTCTTGTCGCTTGCTTGTGTTGTGGTTGGTTCCTTTGAATTGCTTTGTTAGGACAGCTCTGAGGAGTGGGGTGGGTGGGCCAAGGACACCAAGGTCTCCCCTTCTGGTGAATGCTACTAGCTTGCATTCCCAAATAGTTCCTTATTGGCAAGCTCCCGTTGCCCCGCCTGGCTGGGCTCTGGGGACAGACGGGTGGTGGGTGTCCCTTCGCTCTGCCGCTTGCCCGGTGGCTGTGTTCCTTCCCCGGCCGGCCACCCCGGGAGCGCAGGCCGCTCCCCGGCCACGTCACTGACCACTGACCACCGCCGCGCGCTCTGGGCTCCGACGGTAATTGTTACAAGACCTCTAACTGCCCATCTCACCGCAGCGCACTCAGGAATGGCCAGGCCCCGCGCCTCCTCTCTCTTTTATTGGAACCGCTTTGTTTACCCTCGCTGGCGACGGCGACCTGGGATTTGCATCCAGTTTATTTTCTTTCCTGAGAAAATAACCGGGGCCGGCCTGGCGGCCGGGACCCAGCGAGGGGCCGTGGCCACCAAGGATGATGACCCCGGGGCCCTCCTTATTGCGGCCGAGGAGGCTCAGGAAGAAATCCCAAAGAGGAAGTTTCCAGGAGGGTGTGTGCACTGACTGCAGAGCTCTGGATGCCGCAGGCTCTGGCCCGGAGGAGGTTCCTGCCTTGCATTGCGCCCCTGCGTTCCCCCCAGGCAGCCAAGCAATGATGATCATCTGTTGGCGGGTGGTGGGGGCCATCTGCCTGGTCCCCGTAGCTAGCTCCTTCCAAGCTTCCAGACCCTCCCCCGGCCATGGGGGGTATCCCATCTATGCATCACCAGTTTAACTATTTAGTCAATATTTTTTTCTGCATTGACTTTAAATGTCTTAAGTCAAGTTTTGTCTTAAGCAACATATAGGGTTCATGGACTGCATATATTTCCCCAAATGTACATGAAAATACATATATAATTATGAACATTAAAAAAAAGACTCATCGGGGGCCAGGAAAATGTTTCCCGGACACTCGGGTGGCATGTGGGCCACCGGAGGGATGCTCTGGGCATGCCCAGGCAAGCCCCTTGCTGCTTTGGGTAGCAGCATTTCTAACAGGTGCTGGGCAGGACTGGGGACTCTTGTCCCTGAAGGGGCCTCTCCTCCAGTCGACCCCTGGGTGGTGTTGCCAGCTGCCGCCTCCGTTGTCGGGTGTGTGGTGGCCCAATGTCACCAGCTGATCTGTCCCTGCAGGTACCGCTCTCCCGGGTTCCATGTGCAGTCCTGGTACGACGAGGTGAAGGACTACACCTACCCCTACCCCCACGAGTGCAACCCTTGGTGTCCAGAGAGGTGCTCAGGGGCCATGTGCACCCACTACACACAGGTAACCCTGGAGCGGTGGCCTGGACTCAGCCCACCGTCCCCAGTCGCTCACGGGGCCCTACAGGGTCGTTGCTCAGTCGGAAATCCTCCACTGTCCTCGCCTTAACTTTTCCCTTCAATCTGATGCCATTCGGACTGTAACTGGTGGGCTGAATGGCTCACAAGTAGAACGCTGAGACTAGGAGCTTCTATGGCACTTTTACACGCTGGGGCATTTCCTGGTGTGTGGTTTGGTTTTCGGTGTTTGTTTTTGTTTGTTTTAGATCTTCAGTGGGTTGGGGGAAATCTGGCCCTTCACCCCTTCACCACAGACCCTCTCACCAGCACCCTGTGGTCCAGGCCGGACTGTGTCACCCTGGTGTGCCTGGCCCCTGAGTTCTGACACGGGGCTGTGGTCTTTTCAGATAGTGTGGGCCACCACCAACAGGGTCGGCTGCGCTGTGCACACCTGCTCGAGGATGAACGTCTGGGGAGACATGTGGGAGAATGCCGTCTACCTCGTCTGCAACTACTCTCCAAAGTAAGAGCAAGTTGGCACGGTCCTGGGGGTTGGGATGCTTTCACCAGTTGCAGAGAACCCAGCTAAAACTGTCTTCAACAGGGGCATCTCCTCATTATTTCACAATAGAGGCTCAGTGCACAAATTCGTGCATGGGGGTGTATGTCTAGCTGGCCTGCCCCAATTGGGGTCGAGGAGCTCGTGCCTTAGGCTCCACAGCCTGGGTCTTAGGCTCTACAGCAGCGATTCTCAACCTGTGGGTCACAACCCACAGGTCAGAACTGCTAGCAGGGTCGCCTAAGACCATCAGAAAACACAGATATTTACATAAGATTCATAACAGTAGCAAAATTACAGCTATGAAATAGCAACAAAAATAATTTTATTGTTAGAGGGTCTCCACAACATGAGGAACTGTATTAAAGGGTTGTGGCATTAGAAAGATTGAGAACCACTAGTCTAGAGGGTGGTGAATCTGGGTTAGCTTAACAGATCATCAGTGTCAACCAGGGTTCAGGCTCCTTTTGTCTTCTTGCTGTACTATCCTCTCCTCATGGACCCCTGGCTGCAAAGCACTGGGCATCACATCTTCCCAAGCAAGAAGGAAGGAGAATGGATAAAATAACTCTGTCCTTAGGCCTTCCTCACCCCTGGCCCACTTTCTCCCTATGTCATCGGCTAGCACTAGACCAATTGCAGCCAACGGGGGAATCAGGTTGCTCCAATTGGCTTTGACCAATGGACTTGCCCCATTTGACTTTGTAAGCCTCCTCTGGGACTACTGTACAAATCAGAAGCAGGAATAGCTGTCGCCTGCAACCAGCGGGGTCTGCCACAGCAATATCAGTATTATTTTTTCTCTCTGAAAATATGCAGCAGATAGCACTCTATGACACAGTATTCACGTTGGATGGAGTTTTGCATCTTTGTATTTCCCCCCTCTCAGAAGGGACCACATCCCATGATGTCAGAGCCCCACTTCTTCCTCACACGGCCGATGTCGTTAATCCCTTGACTCATTTCGCCTACGTTGCTCATCAGGCAAACATGTGCTCATTCTCGGGGAATTGCTCGCCCAGCTCACGGCCTGCGGTTTGCACGCTGGCGGCCATCCTAGCACCATGCCCTGCACATTGCAGGCCTCGAGGTGTATTTGCTCAGTGACTGAATGAAATGGGAATGACTTCATTTATTTGGTTTGGGTCCGGAGCGGCCATGGGTGCGATGAAGGGCGAATTGCTGAGGTTGGGAGGAAAAGAGAACTCTCCATCAACCATCTGACTCGCCTGTGGTGGCCGTGTCTCGGCAGCCCATAGGGAGAAGGGGGATTATGTCATTGATGGAGAGGGATGCAGCCCATGAAAGAGCAATAAACTGGTCCACGGTGGTGGAATTCCTGACAGAGTGGCAGGTGGGGAGGGAGGGATAATTTGATTTGACTCTTTATATAAGGAATACACTAGAAGACCCGATCAAAATTCCAACCCTTCTCTTCTTTAGCTCCCACTCCTTTTCTTGAAAAAGGAATAATCCAGGAGGGTAAAATACAGTAATATTTTAAAAAACACACACACATTTTATTAATTTCCAGAAAGGAAAAGAAAAGAAGAGAGAGAGAGAAACATCAATGAGAGAGAATCATTGATCAGCTGCCTCTTCCACACCCCACACTGGGGATCAAGCCCACAACCCGGGCATGTGCCCTGACGAGGAATCAAACCATGACCCCCTGGTTCATAGGTTAATGCTCAACCACTGAGCCATGCTGGCTGGGCTTAAAGACATGAATCTTAAGTAGGCAGCTTGATAAATTTTCGCACCTACATATATGTATTTGCTCTGGCACTCCGAAACTGGGCACTTAAATAATAAACATTTATTTCTCACCGTTCTAGAGGCTGGAAGTCCCAGCTCAAGGTTCAGCAGGGCCAGTTTCTAGTGAGGACTGTTCCTGGCTTGGAAATGGCTTTTCCTTGTGTCCTCATGTGATATTTCCTGATGTACACACTGAGAAACAGAGGGAGGGAAGGAGGGAGGGAGGGAGGGAGGGAGGGAGGGAGGGAGGGAGGGAGGGAGGGAGGGAGAGAGAGGGAGGGAAAGAGAGAGAGAGAGAGAGAGAGAGAGAGAGAGAGAGAGAGAGAGAGAGAGAGAAAGACTTGTCGGTGTCTCTTATAAAGATACCAGACCCCACCCTTATGACCACATTTAACCTTCATTACATCCTTAGAAGTCCCATCTCCACTTCGAGCCACAAGGGGGGTTAGGATCTCAGCTTATGAATTTGTGGGAACACACAATTCAGTTCATACTCACGTCACTACCGCCAGGTCACATTAGAGAATGTATCCAGCACCCCAGGATGCCCCCCGACCTGAGTGGCCCCATTCTGACCTCCCTTTCCATCTGCCAGTCTGTCTCATACTCATGAACCTGACAGACAGGCCCTCATGCGCCCACCATCCTCCTCCCAGCACCACGTCTGTGAGATTTGTCTGTGGTATCCTGTGTTCAGTGGGCCGTTCTCTGATTGCTGTGTGGTATTCCATGGCTTCTCCTACAGCGGGCAGAGCCCCTTGCCTTGCAGCGGGCAGAGGTTGGGAGGGTGGACCCAGGGGTAGTGTGTGGGCTCAGATCCTTTTGGGCAGGGGTGGGTTGTGAAGGGTCCTTGTGCATCGGAGTGGACACTTATTTCACGGGGCTGTTGGAAGAGTGAAGCGGTTGGTTGTCCAGGGACAGGGTGTTGGTGCAGAGCCTGGTGCCCCGTCAGCCTCTGTACACGCTCACCGAGCATTGTTCCTCCTGGACATCGGAAGTGTGGCTCGTCTTGGAGGAAATCCAGAACCCTCGATTGGCTGGCATCTCGGCTGGGGAAGGGATGAGCCACCTGGGGGTCCAGATAGTCTGAAGAAACTTACTGAGTCTAGCCCAGCAGCAGGCCAGGCTCTGGGCCCTCTCTGTCTGCCTGGCAGCGGGCTGCTCGGCAGAGTCCTTCCAAAGGCCCGGGAGTACCCAGCCAGCCTCGCTGTCCGCAGCAGAGGAGGCCAGCCGAGCGGGGTCTGAGCATGGTGAGGACCCACCATTCGGCCCCCGGGGTGTGTGGGGGTTGAAGCGATGAGCATGTTAGAACAGCACCCGCCCTCCGTCCCAGGCCTGATGCCCACATGGCCCTGGGTGATGCCATCCGCTATTTTGAGCTGCCAGAGGTTAAACAGAGAGCGTGTTTTTTGCAGTTTGTCTCCTGGCCAATACCCGCAGGGCCCTCCCTGGAAAGTGGTCAGAAACATCACCTGGACACGCTGTTGGCTTCGGAAGCGCTCAGAGCGTGCGGCCTTCACCCTGAGAGGGGCCTGGGTCTGAGGTGTCCATACAGTCACTCACCTGTCGCCACCCCCAACCCCCATTACAGAGCAGACTGGCTCAGGGCTGGGAAAAGTGGGGGTCACCTAGCTGGCAGGGTTGGGGTCCAACCTGGAGCATCTACTCTTCACCACTCAGCTGGAGGACGCGGGGGCCTAGCCTGGCCAGCAGCAGGCCCGAGTCCCTTTCCTGGGAGAAGGGATGGATGATGAGGTGGCCACTTAGGAAGTTTCTAGAATAAATCAGAGTCTGGTCCTCGGTCAGTCACAGCTCCTATCTGTGTTGCCGAAGATTTAGATGCTATGAGAAGGATTTGGGGATTCCACTCACCACCTGCTCCCTGGGCCCTGGAGAAATCTCACCGAATGGCCTCCAGACTGGGATGGTCCTCCTGCCCCAGGAACATCCGAGGGAGATGGACGGGGTCCGGGCCACTCAGAGGGACCTTAGTCTCAGCCCTGAGAGCAGATAGCCTGGGTCCCATCTCGCTGTGTGACCTCAGCCAAGTCGCCGAGCCCCTCTGAGCCTCAGTTCCTTCCTATGGCAAAGGGTTGAATTCTAGCATGTCCTCCTGGGGCGTTGAAAGTTTGGGGTGACCTGGGTTGGGTGTGTGGTCCAAACACCAGGTACTCCATGAACACACTGACGTTTACTCATTTGAAAACGTTTGCAAAGAGGGATCCTGGCAGCTTCCCAGGACGAAGGCGCTGGGGCTGGGCCGGGGGACAGTGCTCAGAGTCGAGTGAGGGGAGCACCCGTGGCACATTGGGGCCGGTGGGTGTTGGCACACACACTCAGGTCAGGGAGGGGACAGGTGTCTCTCAGCTGGGGTTCCTCTACAAATCTTTAGACTCTGCACTCAAGAGGGGTCCAGGCAGCTCCTCACTCCCATTTCATGGCATCCACCGTCCTCCTTCCCCACCGTGTTCGGCCCCAAGGGGGGCCAGGAAAGGGGTGACCTGGGCCCTCGAGGGGCAGCCCCTCCTGACAGTGTTTGTGTCTGTCCTCAGGGGAAACTGGATTGGAGAGGCCCCGTACAAAACTGGCCGGCCCTGCTCCGAGTGCCCGCCCAGCTACGGAGGCGGCTGCAAGAACAACTTGTGTTACCGAGGTAGGAAATGACTTCAAAACCGTGAGTCACAGAGCAGCCCGTGCAGAGCACAGACCCCAGGACGTGAACAATGGAGCCCACGGTGCCCCCTCCCCAGCCCTGCTGCAGCCGCCCCCAGCACCCCTCCTCCCCCCTCCCTTCCCTCCTCGTGCACAAGAGGACTCGGGGTTCAGTCCCCCGGTTCCCTGGGGACCCACGGCTTCCCTGGAGTCCCCCTTTCCCTCGCCCCCATGAGCATCCCATGGCCAGACTCCAAGCTGGACTTGGGCCGCAGCATCTCCTCGCACAGATCCCTGCCCTTGTGTGTTGGTGCTTATAGCTCCACATGAAACAGACAACAGACCAGGAATTAAAAGCAAACAGCTAGACCGTGATGTTCCCTCGAGCTCCAGGCTAGCAGGGCTGTCCCTCCAGGGTGTCCTTCCCGTCCTTGTCCCACACCTATCTCCCCCCCCAATTCCCTTCCCACCTTGTGCATCCTCCGTGGGACTTGTCATAAACATTAGGGTTTCCCTCCCAGGCAAACCCGGGCTCTCCGAGGATGTGCAGCTTCCAGTCCCTCCCCCACTGGTTGGTTGTCGCCACTCAGAATATTCCCACTCTGCTCCTGTAAACAATGCACACTTTTCGTGCCTAAAGCGTTGCTCACAGTTTGGAATATTTCCTCAGGCCCCGTCCCAGGAGAGGCATAGCTAGGCCAAAGGGCATTCCCTTGTTTTTACGGTTAAGATGAGTTTGTTTGTTTGTTTTTTTTTCATGTGGTTCCATGCAGAAGGTTTGGCAGGGGGGATGGGCACACAGGCGAGAGCCACCCTCTGTGCCAGGCCCTCCCCGACGGAGGGGTGGTGGGGTCAGTTCCGTGGGCTCTGGGGTGAACACACTGGTGGCTAGTGGGGGGACGCAGACCCTCTCAGGGGCCCAGGCCCTGCTCACCACTTATTCTGCCCATTGGGGGTGGAGGAGGGGGCAGGAGAAGCAACGGACCAGGCTCGAGGCTGGTGCTCCAACCAGGCGCTCACTCTACCCATCAGCCAGTGGCTGTGATAACACCATCTCCCTCAATACATCCCAGGCACAAGTGAGGATTTGTGTATTTGGCATAAACGTACTGAGCACCTGCTGTGTACCAGGACACTGCTGGGTGGTATCCGTGGGGATCGCTATGGTGACCAGACAGTCATGGCCCATCCCTCATGAAACTGAGGCCCAGTGGGGGCGTGGCCACGGGGAGTGATTCTCATCTCCCAGGGGAAGTAACTGTTTGCCGGGAGCTTCGAGCAGGAACATGGCTGTTGTCTAAGGGGTCAGGGAGGGCTTCCCCCAGCAGGTGTCCTTAAGGAGGAAGATGTAGCCTGGCAGTGAGAGACGTGAAAGGTGTTCCCGGCAGGGGGAACTGCATGTGCGAAGGCCTAGAGACATGAGGCTCATGGTCTTGAGCTCACTCTTGTATACGGTGTAAGTTGGTGGTCTAGTTTCGCTTTTTTGCACGTATCTGTCCAATTTTCCCAACACCATGTATTGAAGAGACTATCTTTATCTCATTGTATGTTCTTGCTTCTTTTGTTAAATATTAATTGACCTTAAAGGTGTGGGGTTATTTCCGGGCTCTATCCTGTCCTATTGATCTACCCGTAAGCATTCGTTACACGGAATTTCTGCTGCTTCCCGTGTCCTCTCAGGCCACCCTCTTCTCTGTCTCCACACACCCGTCTTTGGTGCACTGTTCCCTGAGGCGCCCCCTCCAGTCCCTGGATTTGTGAGCCAGGCATGGGTTTTAGGGGCTGGCGCACCTGCTCCGAGAATGTCAACCCTGCCTCATTCCAGGGCTGGGGCCCTGGGCAGGTGGTCTCTCTGAGTCTCAGTCTTTCTGTCTGAAAAGAGGGCTTATGGTGTCAACCCCTGGGGAACTGGAGGACTAGGAGGAGAAGGCCGAGGTCAACAGTCAGGCATGTCAGGTCCCATCTCCATGGTGCTATTCAGGCGGGCCCTGGGACTGTGTTTATCGTTTGACATAAAACAAACAAACAAGGAATTAAAAACAAACAGCTAGACTGTGATGCTGGTTTATGCACCAAACGAAGTCTCGGGGGTTGAGTCTCCATCGGATTTGGGGATTGTAAGGAAGGATTGCCCTTCGGGGTTCCCCCCGAGTCCCGCACTGTGAGGGGCGCAGTGTGTGTGTGGCCCACAGCTGTCTGGGTTCCGGGGAGCATGGTCATGTTTACCGTCGCAGGCTGTGTGGACTCAGGCTGTGTGGACTCAGGCTGGTGGACTCAGGCTGGTGGGCTCAGGCTGTGTGGACTCAGGCTGGTGGACTCAGGCTGTGTGGACTCAGGCTGGTGGAATCAGGCTGTGTGGACTCAGGCTGTGTGGACTCAGGCTGTGTGGGCTCAGGCTGTGTGGGCTCAGGCTGTGTGGATTCAGGCTGTGTGGGCTCAGGCTGGTGGACTCAGGCTGTGTGGACTCAGGCTGTGTGGACTCAGGCTGGTGGACTCAGGCTGTGTGGACTCAGGCTGTGTGGATTCAGGCTGTGTGGAATCAGGCTGTGTGGACTCAGGCTGTGTGGACTCAGGCTGGTGGAATCAGGCTGGTGGACTCAGGCTGTGTGGGCTCAGGCTGTGTGGACTCAGGCTGTGTGGGCTCAGGTTGTGTGGACTCAGGCTGTGTGGACTCAGGCTGTGTGGGCTCAGGTTGTGTGGACTCAGGCTGTGTGGGCTCAGGCTGTGTGGACTCAGGCTGGTGGCCTCAGGCTGGTGGCCTCAGGCTGTGTGGACTCAGGCTGGTGGAATCAGGCTGTGTGGACTCAGGCTGTGTGGACTCAGGCTGGTGGAATCAGGCTGGTGGACTCAGGCTGTGTGGGCTCAGGCTGTGTGGACTCAGGCTGTGTGGGCTCAGGTTGTGTGGACTCAGGCTGTGTGGACTCAGGCTGTGTGGGCTCAGGTTGTGTGGACTCAGGCTGTGTGGACTCAGGCTGTGTGGACTCAGGCTGGTGGACTCAGGCTGGTGGCCTCAGGCTGTGTGGCCTCAGGCTGTGTGGGCTCAGGCTGTGTGGACTCAGGCTGTGTGGACTCAGGCTGTGTGGGCTCAGGCTGTGTGGACTCAGGCTGTGTGGGCTCAGGCTGTGTGGGCTCAGGTTGTGTGGACTCAGGCTGTGTGGACTCAGGCTGGTGGACTCAGGCTGGTGGCCTCAGGCTGTGTGGGCTCAGGCTGTGTGGGCTCAGGCTGTGTGGGCTCAGGTTGTGTGGGCTCAGGCTGTGTGGGCTCAGGCTGTGTGGGCTCAGGTTGTGTGGACTCAGGCTGTGTGGGCTCAGGCTGTGTGGGCTCAGGCTGTGTGGATTCAGGCTGGTGGACTCAGGCTGGTGGACTCAGGCTGTGTGGGCTCAGGCTGTGTGGGCTCAGGTTGTGTGGACTCAGGCTGTGTGAACTCAGGCTGTGTGGACTCAGGCTGTGTGGATTCAGGCTGGTGGACTCAGGCTGTGTGGATTCAGGCTGTGTGGACTCAGGTTGTGTGGACTCAGGCTGTGTGGACTCAGGCTGTGTGGACTCAGGCTGGTGGACTCAGGCTGGTGGAATCAGGCTGTGTGGACTCAGGCTGTGTGGACTCAGGCTGGTGGACTCAAGCTGTGTGGACTCAGGCTGGTGGAATCAGGCTGTGTGGGCTCAGGCTGTGTGGACTCAGGCTGGTGGACTCAGGCTGTGTGGACTCAGGCTGTGTGGGCTCAGGCTGTGCGGGCTCAGGTGCCACGTACCTTCTTGGAGCCTCCGTTTTCCCATCTGTAACAGTGACAGTACAGTCCTGTGAAATTTCAGCCAAAGCAGAGAGTTGCTATTTGCATTTACTGAGTGGCCTTCTCAAAGATGAAGGCTTTAGACCTTTACAGCAGGCACCCTGCCCCCCTCCGATGCCTGTGGACCAGGTTGCCTCCTGTTCTCCCGCAATTAAAGCAACGAGAAGGATGTGAGTTGCTAGTGCAACAACCTGCACATAGTCAGTGCTTTATAAACACAGGAGGTTAGCTCCTTGAAGGCCACCATGTACTGATACCTGCAAGGTGACCTTCATCCCCTGGTGAGGAATATTGGTCCTCTCCCAGCCTGTGGGTCTCTTCCATCTCTGGGACCTGACAGATGCCTCCTCCTCCTTAGAAACACAGCTCTGGTGTCACCCTTCCTCCAGGGAGCCTTCCCTGACTACACAGCCTTGCAGTGCACCTGCCTTCCTGCTCTGACTGCAGCCAGACTCTCCCTGAACCTTGACCACCTGTAGTTATGACTGCTGGTTCATTCCGGTGCCTCCAGGGGTCTGGAGCAGGTGTGTTCTTAACGTCATCTCAATTCAATTCCCGCATCCCCAAGAGAGTCAACTTCTAAGAACAAATACGGACAAAACTACATTAGATGCTGGTTTACCCACCCAAGGAAGCCTCTGTACGTGTTTCTTTATTTTTGGTGGAGAAGAGCCAGCTCACTCGGCAGGTGTGCCAGTTTTCCTAGCTAACCACGCAGCACGTCTCCTGTGAAGTGACTGACTAATTGCACGTGCCCAACAGGGCCTGGCCCGTAATGGAGATGGAGCAGGGATAAGGACAGACCTTAGAGAGGTTTGTTCCCTTGGGCTTTGCCAGGTGTGTGTGGTGATAAAGTGTGGGCTTTGGGGAAGGGCAGTGTGACTCTCAGTTCTGTGAGCCTGGGCAGGTCCCTCAGCCTCTCTGAGCCCCGGTTTCTCTGTCTGTGAGTGAGGCTCATCCGTCCGACAAGGCAGGGAGAGGATGATGCAAGGACATCCTGGAAAGGTCCACGTTCAGGAAACACTAGCTGTGAGCCCTGTTATCACTTATAGACCGCGGTGGGAATCTGCAGAATGATGTAAGCAATGCTATGTGCCCTGCGACCCCAAGCCCGGGGATGGACAGTGCGCACAGTAACCTGGCCGTGAACCCGGGCATGGAATTTCCCCAGGCCTGCGCGGGTCCACACGGGGGATCTTAATTGGGATGTGCTCAAATAGAGCCGGTCTTCTGGGCAGGCGTTCCACTTTTCATGTGTGTGTCTGAGGGCGAGGACTGTCTGCCCATTTTCTTAAATAGTGAGCCCTCAAACGCTTTAGACTGCCTTACCAAACTATATTCGGCCGAATAAAGCCACGATTATGTGGTATAAAAACCCTAAAGGCCAGTGGAAGAAAACCCGGTTATTCCAGAGACAGCTCTGGCTTTCAGTGAAGGGCAAACCTGAGTAGCTACATTGACGGGAAGGCAGACCAGAGACGGTTGATCGTGCCAAATGGCGTTGCAAACCTGGTGTCTTCATAAAGATTTCAACGAACAGCTCTTGGCTACAAATGACACTTTCACAATTCCCTTCCTAAATGTTCTTAAATTTCACTGGGAATATATTTTATTCCAAAGGAATTTAAAGACAGAATTTTTTTTTCTGGGGAGGAGGGGGGTGTTAATTATCTTTCATTCAGCAAATTTTGTTGAGCAACTATTATGTGCTGGAGCTGGGCATCCAGAGAGCCGTGACACAGGCCAGCTGCAGGCCTCAGGGAGCTCCCGGCCGGTAGGAAAGCAGGTGGTGGTGAAATCACAGCTGGGAACTGGCTCCCTCGAGCTGCCTGGATGTTCCCCTGAGGGAACAGACTTGGGGGTCAAGATCACAGTTCACCTCCCAGCTTAAATCCTGTCCATTCTCTCAGGACTAGGTCCGCCTGGGGGGGAGGTTAAACAAAAGGGAATTGGCAATGAAACAGAAGCAAGGAATTCCAGCCCCGAAAAGCATGGGGGAACCACTCCTCTGCCCTCCATTCGGTGTTTGTCCTGTCCAGACACAAAACAGGGTCTGTCCCTTGGAGAGGAGAGGCCATTGCCCTGAAGGAGAATGGGTAACGAGGCAGAGGGATTGATGGGACTTGGATAGTATTAATCCAGTGACACAAAGAGGTCTGCGAGGGCGCTTCATTCCTCCTCCTCAAAGCCCTTCCTACCCACACACACTTCTGTCGATTCTTTCATTGAGGGAGAGCAGGAGGCAAGCTGGTCCACAGACATCCAGGGGGACAGGGGCACATGCTGTGATGGTGCCACGGTCCCCCAGCAGAGATGTTTGAGAAGGCCATTCAGGCAAATGCAAACAGCAAGTCTCTGCTTGCTTTGGCTGAAATGGACAATTTGATATTTACAGGTTCTGGCCAGCAGTGAATAGTTGTCTTAAATATATATATATATATAAAATTGATTTTTTACAGAGAGGAAGGGAAAGGGATAGAAAGTTAGAAACATCGATGAGAGAGAAACGTCGATCTGCACACTCCCTACTGGGGATATGCCCGAAACCAGGGTACATGCCCTTGACCAGAACCTGGGACCCTTCAGTCCACAGGCCAACCCTCTATTCACTGAGCCAAACTGGTTAGGGCTGAATAGTTGTCTTTTGTGATGAAGACTAGAAAATACATAAACTGATGTTTATAAGAAATGTGATCTGTTTGGTTAATCAAAGTGCCTTAAAATATGGTTGTCACCATCATTGTGGAGAAATAATAATGTTTGGGTGGGAAAAGATTGGGACCCAATGAACTCACTTTTTAAAAAAACTAGAGTCGGTCTCTCTGGCTCACTCTAATGATGGGTCCAATGTCAGGGGGTGCCGACATCTCCGTGCAGGAAAGGGCGAGAAGGGAGCAGAGACGGGAGCAGGATGTGCTGGAGAGGAGGGGCAGCGGGCCCAAGGCCTTTGACCTGAGTCTTTGGGCACCTTCATGGGTGTATAAACGAGGAAGGCCCCTCTCCCAGTTAAAACTTAGGGGAGGCAGCTCTAGTTTAGGGTCAGAGGATATGTACTTCCTTGGGCAAATGATGGTGCAGGAGGAGGAAGGACAAGAAACCATGATGATAACCCAGGTGTGGAGCTGGGCCTCTCTCCCTGCTCAGCCCAGCGACTCCCGGGGCCAGAGCAGACACAGCGAGCAGCGCCTGTCCACTCCCTCGCTGGTGGAATTCCACCTGGCCAGGCCTGTTCTGAAATGTAAATTCCTCTTTGCCACTGAAATGATTCTTTGTCAATCTAAACCTCAAACAAGTTTAGGTTCCAAGTGGCTTTTTTTTTTTTTTTTTTTCAAAGTGCATTTTTGTTGAATCTCGGCATTCCCCCCCCCCCCCCCCTCTATCTTTGCTATGAAGAAGGAACTTACGTCCCCAAACCTGAAACAGACGAGATGAACGAGGTGGAGACGGCTCTCGTGACCGAAGGGAAACACGACTGGGTTCAGCCGAGGGTGATCAGACCCAAGAAAACGTCCGCCGTGAGCTACATGAGTGAGTCAGACTGCCTCTCTTCCCCCTCGAACCCCCTCAAAAGGGGGCCACTTTCTTTGGGGCGGGTGGGGAGGGGAGCTGGTGGCTGAGAGGGCTCCAAGTCCACACACAGCAGGAGCAGGGTGGCCTGTAGCTTGCAAAAGTATAACTCTCAGGTGTTCCTGAAAATGGTATTTTTAAGCCATTTATAGGAGCTATTCCTGAGTGACAGTTCCCCCAGGCAGGTGATTTGAGGTGAGACCTTATCCTTTCAAAGGGACCCCAGGCTGAAACTGAGCACAGAGAGTGCAAGGTGGAGGCCAGCGCCCGTGAGCAAATGATACCCAAGTCTCAGAGCTGGTCTGAGACTTGGGTATCATTTGACTCTCGGAGACTCAATCTGCTCACCCATAAAATGGGGCCATGATACGAGGTGCTGTTTGCAGTCCTGCGGGCCTTGGGGTCAGCGGGGATCTCCCTGGACTTGAGATATCCAGTTGCCTCAGACAGCCCCTTGGGCAGGAATTAGATGTTTTCCCTGGACTTCCGGAAGTCCCAGAGCGCTCCCACGCTCACCTCTGTTGCCCTTCCCCCTCCCTTGCACCCTTCCCCCTCCTCTGGTTCTCAGCACCCCTCCCCTCATAGGGCTCTTCTCCTTGCCTGGCTCTCTGGCTCTCTGCCAGGCCAGAGCTCAGTGCTCCGGTTCCCCTGACACTGCCTTGGGCGCCTTTCCTGGAGGTGAGGCTTGGAGGGCACTGCCTTACAGACAGAGCAGCAGGCATGGGCAGTCGGCCTGCGGCCTGGCTCTCTCTGGTTCTCCCCTAGAGTGGAAAGAGCATGAACTGGGCTCGCCCTGCGAGGGGCCCACCTGTGCCCATCTTGCTCAGAAACAATCCCCACATCTTCAACTTCTCTCTCCCCCGCCCTTGACAGTCACCCTATCCTCTTGGCTTCCAGGGCCTTTTCCCAGACCCGTTGCCCGTTCAGCCGTCCTTAGCGTCTTCGACCAGGAAATAGGCTGACGCTCTTTTCTGTCCAGTTGTTTGAAGAGGTTCCATCGGTTCTTTTAATAATGCAAAACCATCAAATGTCTTTTTCGTCCAACTACCACTCTACTCTGAGCTTTCTACATGTCCCTATAAAACAGTGGTTCTCAACCTTCCTAATGCCTGGATCCTTTAATACAGCTCCTCATGTTGTGGTGATCCCCAACCATAAAATCATTTTCGTTGCTACTTCATAACTATAATTTTGCTACTGTTATGAATGGTAATGTTAATATCTGTGTTTTCTGATGGTCTTAGGCCACCCCTGTGAAAGGGTCATTCAACCCCCAATGGGGTCTTGACCAGCAGGTTGAGAACTGCTGCTGTAAAACAAACTAAAAGGAAAGCTTGGCAAAGGCTGCAGGGGAGACGACCGACACAGGTGGGAATGCCGGGTCTCCACTTCCAGGCTGAATAAGGCCTATTCCCCAGAGCCCGAGGGTCCACGGGGCACTTAGTGTGTGCCAGGCTCCCTCCACGGTCACAGGTACATTCTCACTTGATGCCACCGGCACAGTACCTGCTGCATGTTCACCCGTTATACACCCGTGGGGATTGAGCCTCCGAGAGGGGAAGTAACATGGCTGAGGTCAAATGGCTGCCCCAAATCGTCGAACCTGGGATTCGAACCTCATCCCTGAAGGTGGAAGCCATTGGCAATGCTCCTGCTCTGGAATGGCCTGGATCCCAGAAAGCTCCTCAGAGTGGGGGGTAGGGTCTTCTAACTCGGTCTCATCCCCTTGATTCCTGCAGTGATGACTGTTTCTGCATTTCTCTCCTAGCCCAAGTGGTCAGGTGTGACACCAAGATGAAGGACAAGTGCAAAGGATCCACGTGCAACAGGTGAGGCCTGGGCCGGACCCCTCTGTCCCTGTCCCCTGCAGCCCCTCGGAGCGCCTGCCTCGGGCTGCGAGCCACATCCGGGTCAGCCAGCGGGTGGCCACCCACCCAAGCTGGGTAGATACGCACACAAAAATGGCATTCTCTACTTTTAGCAATAACGGTGTGCTCCCAGGGCTGAGCGGGGAGGTCACCCAGCCTGCTTTGTGTCATCCATTCAGCTCCTTCTGAATGCCAACCTTTGTTAAGGTAAGAGTGTGGCACACAGAGGTGACCCATGTTCCTCAGCCTTGGCACTGCTGACATGTAGGGCCAGATACTGCTCTGTGGTGAGGGCCTGTGCAGTGTAGGAGGCTGAACAGCACCCCTAGCCTCCGCCCTAGCTGTGATCCCAAAAAGGTCTCCAGAAATTGCTAACATCCCCCGAGGACAAGATCACCCCTAATTGACAAGCTTGGACCTAGACGGTTGGCCCAAGCTCTGGGTCTCCTCCCGCCTGGACACACATTCCAGTTGTGTTTCCTCCCCAGTCAGGCGGATGTGTTCAAAGGACAGATGCTTGGCCTTATTGTCTCAAAAGGAATTTGCAAGCTGCAGAAATGCTAGGCTTGTACGTGGCTGATGTGTGTGCTACAGACATGACAATCTTGACCAACGTTGTTGTGTAGTTGGGGACGCCATCACACCTCTCTGTGTGCGGGGAGTCGCACGGTGGCCCAGAGTTCTGTGCACGGAGGACCATGGCTGGCGTGGCGTTAGGATGTGCGGGCCAGGGGATCCCGCTGCAGAATCTGAGTAAGCTGCTTCCTGAGGGCCCCACTAGGGGAAGAGCTGCCAGTGCGGCCCCGGGGAGCGGAATGAGGTCATCTGGCAGATGGAGTCATCGAGTACTGTCCACTGGGATGTTGAAGGACGTCTGCCAAGAAGAAGGAGTTTGGTTTTGGCAGTGCCGCTTGGCTGCACTTTCTGGCAGCGAACGGCCAACAGGTGCAGCGGCCTCAGGCAGAGCCTCAGGTTCACGGTGGGAAAACCACATCCTTGGTCGAGGGGTCCTTACTCAGCTTCCTAAGGACGCCTGCACTCATTCATCTGAAGCTGAATCACGTCATGTAATGCACATGCCGAGAAGAGAAGGCCGCGGTCCTGTAGATACCGTAGGGACCGGGACTTGGGTGTGCTAGCGCCTGGCTCAGCCTCTGGCAGGCGTATCAGGAAGTAGGCTTTGAGCAACCCAGGATGAGGCCGTTCCAGAGGCTCAGACCTCATCCCTTGAGCAGCGGGTAGCAGGCCAGCAAGTACTGCAGAAGCCAACCGTCCACGTGTTGGTGAGACGAACAAGATGTGGCAATGGTGGTGGTGCAACCGTCCCCTGCAGTGTCAGGGACATTTGCTGGGCGAATCAGAGAAAGCACCCAGCATCTGCAAGGGCCACCCACACCGCAAAGTTGTGGCTCTAGGACAGTGGTCGGCAAACTCATTGGTCCACAGAGCCAAATATCAACAGTATAATGATTGAGATTTCTTTTGAGAGCCACATTTTTTTTTTTTTTGAGAGCCAAATTTTTTAAATGTAAACTTCTAATGCCACTTCTTCAAAATAGACTCGCCCAGACCATGGTTTTTGTGGAAGAGCCACATTCAAGGGGCCAAAGAACCGCATGTGGCTCTGGAGCCACAGTTTGCCGACCACGGGGCTAGGATGTTAGGAACGCTCTTGATGGTCCCATTGTGACGATGGACTTTCTGTCCTGCAAGCTCATGATGACAGCATCACGCCCGCGTGCTCAGTGGGGGAATAATGGAAAGGTATAAAAAATATCCCTTGTGAGGTTGCATCGGAAGAGTCCCAGACGGGAGCCTCCCCAGGCAGGGAGCAGGCAAGGTCCGTCCACACCATGACTCTCTGAGACCTCCAGTCAAGAAACATAGCTCACCCCACCTGCGCACGCAGTGTCTCTGTGTCCCCGTGTCTGGCCGAGAAGCCATCCTGCCATCTGGCACGTCCTGTTTCTGGTACTGGTGCTTTTATAAAAATAACATTTACTGGGCTTAGTTTCTGACTTTAAAAAGTATTCTTGTTCGCGATAAGTAACTCAGGAGAACAACCACAATGACAAAGTATAAAGAAAAAAAGAAGTGTCCAGATCTCCCTGGATCAGTAGCAATTTGACGCAGTTCCAGCCTTCTCCCAGGCACCGACTCGCTCATGCCGCTGAGGTGAGCTCGTGTGTTATTCTCACATGAGTGTCCCAAGTCAGCACATTCTCCGAGGGGTTCCCACTTAAAAATGTTTGGCCGCTCCTTTGACACCTACTGGCTTATTTCCAGTTTTCTGCAATTGTGAACAGTGGGGATCACACAGGAGTCTGGCTCTCTGACTTTTCCCTTGGGAGATAACCTGAAAGGGAAATTCAAGAATCGCCAGATTGATTTATACTTTTTCATGAACGTGAACACCATCACTGAGTTTTATTCTCGTAAAAAACCCTTGCCATTTAACACCTGGAAAATGGCACTTCCTTTCAATGTGCACTTCTCTGATGACTGATGTTTGGAGATTTTTTTTAATTTTTGACTTCTTTAGTGTTTGGATGCCACTTGTCTTTCTTCTATGAATTGTCCAGTCAGTGGTCGGCAAACTCATTAGTCAACAGAGCCAAATATCAACAGTACGATTGAAATTTCTTTGGAGAGCCAAATTTTTTTTAAACTTAAACTTCTTCTAACGCCACTTCTTCAAAATAGACTCGCCCAGGCCGTGGTATTTTGTGGAAGAGCCACCCTCAAGGGGCCAAAGAGCCACATGTAACTCACAAGCCTCAGTTTGCCGACCACGGGTCTAGTCTAAGGTGACCAGATGTCCCGCTTTTGGCGGAACAGTCCCGATTTTTAACAATTGGAAAGATTCTTTCCAAAAATCGAGACTTTTTTAAAATGCCGCGGGACACGGGACAAATTGTTAAAAATCGGGACTGTTCTGCCAAAAGTGGGATGTCTGGTCACCTTATTCTAGTCACATCTCTGCCTTAAACACAAATGTTAATTAAGCACCTGAAAGCAGTCGTTAAGAAGGTCACACTGAATCTATAATTGTGTTCACATGACTATACACTTCGGCTTGGGGGACCTGGGACTTGCCAGAAACAGTGGGTTCTCCATCACCGAGGCTTTTCGGCGTATGCTGAGAGCTGCTGAAGAAAACAAGGTAATTGCACGGTGATGTGGAGGCGTGCTCACCTGTGGAATCACGTGCTTTCTCCCAACAGGTACCAGTGCCCAGCAGGCTGCCTGAGCAACAAGGCCAAGGTCTTCGGAACTCTCTTTTATGAAAGTGTAAGTGGGACCCATGTTTCTCTAAATGGCTTCTGTCGTGTGCTTTTAAAGGAGGTGGGTGGTTTTCAGGGGAAAAGGTTTTCCTTCCCTGCCTTCATCCAACCTTCGTTTGCTGAGATGATCTGTGAGCGTTTGAGCTCACAAACTGGTGCAGCTGCTTTGGGGCCCTGGGGCTGGCCCTCGTGTAGACGGGGTGTTATCTTGTGCCATTGCGTGGGGGGAAAGGGCTGTCGGTCGCTGTTCTTACTGTGTCAAGCCCCTCAGGTGGGTTTTTAAAGATAAGCAGCCCAGGGACAGAGACGCAGGTGTTCTGGAGAGAGGCAGGCGTCGGAGGTGGGGGGAGCTTTGGCCCAACGTTTTGGCTTCCTGTGGGTTGCAGACAAACATCTTGGGGAGGGCTGGCCAGGACCACTTCCGGTGCACTCACGGTCTTCCCCTCCCAGGCGTCCAGCATATGCCGGGCTGCCATCCACTACGGGATCCTGGACAACAAAGGAGGCCTGGTGGACATCACCAGGAACGGGCGGGTCCCCTTTTTCGTCAAGTCTGAGAGGAATGGCATGGAGTCTCTGAGGTGAGTGTTCTGTAGCCGGGTTCCTTACAGCGTTTTCTGGTTATAGAAGTATTGTTAACACATTGAAAGTACTGAACAAACGGAGATGGCCTTAATCTATGATTTAGAACGTGCCCCATGGGCAGTTCAGCATGTTTTATTCCAGTGCTGTGCGCCCTCCCTCCCTCTCTCCCTCTCTTGTTTGGTTGGGTTTCAGCTCCTTGTTTCCAGGAACCATTCAGACACTTTATCACTAACTAAAGTGTCTGAGTTTATAGGCTAATTCTGGATTAGCACTTTTTCTTCCTAAGAATGAGGCTTTTCATTTTTTAAACATGCTTTTTTTTTTTTTAAGGTAATGTTTTTCACATAAGGTATGTGGCAGGCTGATGGGCCAGACAGTCCTTGGCTATTCTGACTTTTCGGGGCTTGGGGAGGAGGCCATGTGTTGACCTCTCTATAGAATAAGAGGCTAGACCAGTGGTCGGCAAACTCATTAGTCAACAGAGCTAAATATCAACAGTTCAATGATTAAAATTTCTTTTGAGAGTCCAATTTTTTATTTATTTATTTATTTATTTATTTATTTATTTTTCTTCTCCCAACCTCTTTGATCTTTTATTTTATTCTATTATTTTTATTTATTTTTAATATATTTTATTGATTTTTTTTTGCCCCCCTCCCTCCCACACATACCCTCCCTCCCCAGAGTTTTATGTCCATTGGTTGTACTTATTGTATATGCGTGTATACAAGTCCTTCGGTTGATCTATTATCTCCCCCAGATCTTCCTCCCCCCTCCACTATAATTTGACAGTCTGCTTGTTGCTTTACTGTCTCTATATCTATCTTTTGGTTCATCAGTTTATAATGTTCTTTATTATCCATAAATGAGTGAGGTCATGTGGTGTTTCTCTTTCATTGATTGGCTTATTTCACTCAGCATGATGTTCTCCAATTCCATTCAGGTTGCTGCAAATGATGAGAATTCCTTCTTTTTTATGGCAGCATGGTTTGAAGACGCCTGATGAACCATAGTTTTTGGATCCAATCATCTGCTGACGGGCACCTAGGCTGTTTCCAAATTCTGAGAGCCCAATTTTTTAAACTTAAACTTCTTCTAATGCCACCTTTTCAAACTAGACTTGCCCAGGCCATGATATTTTGTGGAAAAGCCACACTCAAGGGGCCAAAGAGCCACATGTTTGCCAACCACTGGTCTAGAGTGACCTGGGACCATAGAGCCCAATAGAGGTCGTGGGGTCAAACAGGCTTGGCCCTGCTTCTTCCCTGTGCAGCCCGTGGAAGGTTTCTCCATCTCCTCTGGGTGGCCGCACCCTCATTTGTAAATGAGGACCATGGTAGGACCCGGGCTGACACCCACTAACGTGATGGCAGGGCCTAGCCCGGCTTCTGTGACAAGAAAGCACTGAGCAAATGCTCTGTGATTGTTCTGAGGCAGCATGCCCCGTGCAAACTGTGAGGCCACTCTGGGCATTTCAAAAACGATAGGCGTCATTCCCGCTGTCAAAGGTCTGGTTCTTCAAGGGGTGTCTAAGCACCCCCTCTCCACCTTAGCTAAGGTCCTAGGGCTATGTAAACAAAAAAAGAACCAGGGATTGTGAGCCACAGCCAAGGAGGTGCTCACAGAGATGCCAGTTGGGCCACTTCCTGAGGAGGCTCAGTGCAGGCTGTGGGCGTGGCCAGGATGGAGCAGTAGGCGTGGCCAGGTTCACGCCCTGAGTTGCCTGGGATACTTGTCCTAGAGCCACCGCTAGTCCTGTTCAATGCCCAGCTTTGCACCTAGAATGGGCTCTTCACATTTTAGAATTCAGGGAATGTGCGAACAACAACATAAAGCAAATTACAGCTTTATTTTTACTAACTTCTCATTGCAATGTGGCATTTCCTCTCATTATGAATGTTGGCCCCAAACCAGACTAGGTGAGCAGGGCGGGCAGCCCTCCCACTGGTGGAAATGGACTTGCTGTAGACATCTCGAAAGAGTCTCTGCGTCCTTATGCTGAAATGACAGTAGTGTGAGGACCCACCTATAAACTGGTCTTGATGAATTCATAACAATGTGTGCCTATTACTCTAATGCTAACTTGTTTGAATAGTTAGATAATGATATTAATAAGAACTGGTTTTCTTTTAGTCTTTTCAATTTATCATGCATTTTAAAACTGTCACTACCAGGGCTCCTTGCCCCAAAGAAGTTGATGAGGTGTGCCCAGAAAGTTCCTTTAGATCACATGTGTCAAACACAAGGCCCGCGGGCCAAATCCGTCCCGCCAGGCCTTGCAATGTGGCCCGCACCGCGCTGTCATCACTGCACTCCGCTGCGTTTCCATCACAATGACAGTTTATGACTGTTCAGTAAACCATTCGGCCCGCGATTTAGGCTGGATTTTAGATTTTGGCCCCTTCTCTGATTGAGTTCGACACCCCTACTTTAGATCCTGCTCTAGGTGATTCAGGGCCTTCAGGCTGGTGGGCGATAAGCAGGGAAATGAAACGTTGAAGCTGTAAATAAACGCGGGAGCAAGTGTACCAGCCATTCTGTTTGCATTTACCGGATGTTCCTTTTATAGCAAATACAAAGCGTCCAGCTCGTTCACGGTGTCAAAAGTAAAAGGTAAGCTGGTGGCCTCTTTTTACGTGACCGTAATACATGGGTTCTGTTGGGTTTCCCTAGAATTGCCATTCCCCCTTAGTTGTTGATTGAATGTCTATCGTGCCTGCTATTAATGCTATTCTCAGGAACTTGTTCCTGAGGAGGCAGACTCTCTAATTTCTAAATATATCTGAACTTGGCATTGGCCCTAGACAGCTAAATCAGAAGCACAGGCGTGGCATTCTGGCTGAACGTCACAGAAATACCAACACCTGGGCCTAGAGTAGCTAATAGGTTGCAGAGGGAGTGTCAGTTTCTATTGATTGATAGTGGCTACCTGCTAGGACCTTCCTAGAGCATTGTGTTGAGATGGATGCTGGGGCCTCCTTCTGGGCTCAGCAGAAAACAGAGCTTGATAGATTAGTAATGTCTGCCATGGACAAGAGCGGGGAAACGTGGGGTATGTTCGTTTGATTGGGTGGGATGCATCCATGGGAGAGCATGCTTTTTAGTCACGACCTCCTTCAGACCCAATCCTGCTTGTGGCTGTTTATGGAAATAAAGTTTTATTGGCACACAGCCATGCCCATTCATTTATGCATCGTCCATGTGGTTTATTTGCACATAGATCATAGGGCCCACCAAGCTGGAAATATTTACTCTCTGGTCTTTTAAGCAAGAGTTTACCCAGCTCTGGACTAGATGGGGACATGCTGTCAGACACAGCAGGTGGTCAGCATTAGAACCACTTTCTTACATCTGTTGTTTACACATGTGACTTTGCAGAAGAGAGTCGCTGCCCTCCTTTGAATCAGCTCTAGGCCGGGAATTGGAAACCTGGGTTCTCAGCCATGTTTCCTGCAAGGTCTCAGCTTTTCTGAGCCTGAGTTTCCTCTTGTAATTACAATAATACCTGCCATGGGGGCCCAACATGATGAAATAGGGGAAAGGTTTCAAAATCGAAAAGCAGTCTGCAAACGAGACGTGTAGTAGGTCCACGGAGAAGCTGTTGTGGGTGGCAGCATCCCTGACCAGTAAACACATTCAGGCATGTGTTTGTCTCATCCCGTGGGTGGTCTCGGGTGGAGTGCCAGGGGCGCTGGGGCTTGACACCTGTTATCCCCCAGCTCTATTGGAGGGCTCAGTGGACCCCTAGCACCCAGGTGTCTAACAGTCCCTTTCAAAGGTGGGTAATGCGAGGCCCAGGCTTCCTTGTGACCTGACCCTCTCCTGCTGGCTCCTGTTCACAGTGCAAGACGTGGACTGCTACACCACCGTCGCTCAGCTCTGCCCATATGAGAAACCAGGGACCCACTGCCCACGGTGAGTCCCGCTGCCATCTGGTTTTGCAAACACGGGGAGTGAGAGAAGGTGCCGTGCTGGGCGGGAGGTCATGTCCTGGCAGCAGAGTGCAGTGGCGACCGGATGTGGCCCTTGAATGCATGTGCCCAGGAAAGCAGTCCATTCGTGTTCAAAGCCAAGGGCCTGCTCAGCCTTCTCTGGGACCGCTGGTTCTCACCCCCGGATGCACATTGGAACAGTCTGAGGGGTACCCTATCCGGCGACCCTACCCTGACCACTGAGAGCTGGGTCTCCGGGAGTGGCTGGCCAGGGTCCAGCCTCGCATTAGACGATCCTGGCTGAGCCCAGTGGGCAGCTGGTCCCAGACCCAGTTAAGGGAACTTAGCTGAGAAATGGCTCTGTCCACATGCGGCTCCTCCCCTCCCTGGTCGGAGTGCGTGCACATGTAGAAATGACTTCATTTGCCACACGGCTCCTCCCAAGCCCCTATGGCAGACCTGGAGATAGGTCGCTGTGGGCTCTTTGATGAGTCTAGAACCCTGCAAATGGGCTGCTTGTCCCATTTCACTCAGCTCGTTGGTTCTTCTGCCGGAGCCTCAATTTTAGAAGCAGCTTATGAAAACCCGGTTTTGGGGGTGTAATTTGCATACAATAAAACTCTCCTATTGTAAGTTTTCAGCTCGATGTTTTGATAAATGCACGGTCCTGCAGCCATGGCCACTCAAGACAGGAAGTTCCCTGTGGTCAGGCCCTCTCCTCCTGCTCCCCCTCCCCACTTCCCCACAAACCACCATCTACTTTCTGTCCCTGGTTTTGCCTTTTGTGGGATTTCATGTAAGTGGGGCACCACAGCATGCAGACCTTGTGTCAGACCCCCTCTCTCTGCGTGCTCCCGAAAGCCATTCGTGTTGTTGAGCATGTCCGGTTTATTCCTCCACATCACCGATGAGGCTCCATTCTGCAGATGTGAGCAGTGTGTTTAAGGACTAGGTTTACATGCATCTTCCAAACTTTCATTGGCTGATTTTGGAGGAGGATGCATCATAACATAAAGAGGGTCCTAGCATTTGTGTCTGAATTGCCCACGAGGTCCTGTCACATGCTGGTGACGTAGCATCCGGTGAACCCTTATCCTGGCCTGGAAGCTTGTGGGTTCCCCCAGGGAAAGGCTGACCTTAAAACTGGCCAGTGGAATCTCCTGAGGTGTGAGCAGAGTCCAGCCCACGGAGGGAGCAGGCGAGCGACAGAAGGCTAGAGACTGGACAGAGGGTCCTGACTCCTCCTCTTTGCTACTTGCCTCCCTCTGGAGGCTCTCTCACAGGCTCCCACCAGCACCACCACCACCATCACCTCCACCACCATCACCATAACCATCACCACCACCATCACCATCACCATCACCATCACCATCACCATCACCACTATCATCACATTCACCATTACCAGCCCCCCCACCACCATCACCACCACCACCACTACCATCACCATCACCATTACCACCACATTCACCATTACCACCACTACCACCACCACCACCATCACCACCACCACCATCACCATCACCATCACCACCACCACTTCACCATTACCATCACCTCCACCACCACCACCACCACCACCATCACCATCATCACCACCACCACAACCACCACCACTACCACCACTACCACTATCACCATCACCATCACTACCACCACCATCACCACTATTATTATATTCACAATCACCACCACCATCACCACCACCATCACCACCATCATCACCACCACCATCACCACCATCATCACCACTACCATCACCATTACCATCACCACCACCACTACCACCACCACCACCACCATTCTGACTCCCCCCCCACCAAATGATCAAGTGGAGATAACTATTCAATGACCACTTCTCAAAGCCTCTTAGATTTCCCCAAATATTAAAGACAAGCTGAAGGAAATGATCTCAACCAAATAGAACACAAAAAGAAACACTTGACGTAGTACATGTATGCAAAACGTAGGCTTTGACCTGCCATTCCAGAAGATCTAGGAAAGAACGTTCTTATCTAAATTCTGCTTTCTCTTTCTAAATCCCTCACACATACCCTCTTTCTCTCTGCCACCCCTGCGCCATCTCAGGTCCTCCCTGCTGCCTGGCTGCCTTCCCTCCCGCGATCCTGCTGTCCTGGGGCCAGGTGGCTTCCGGGCCACATTTGGATTTCTCCTCCCTGGGCCCCAGCTGAGGTGCACGGTTCCAGATCAGGACAAAAGGCCTTTTCTTAAGTGAAGTTCCTGCCTTTTGCTGGGCCCACCCATCCCCATTCCAGGCAGCTCCTCATCCCCGGTGCCGAGGGCAGGGATGTGGCTGCTGACAGAGCAGTGACCTCACGCCTTCGCCTCAGGTTATCGGCGCCCCCTCCCTGGAATAGTCTGTGACTCACTGAGGTGAGGGCCCTCCACCCTTTCCTCCCCCACACAGGGAAGTGACCTTTAAAAAGCCTATTGATTATAATCTCCATAATGTGCCCACAGTCTGAACTGGCCCACACCCAGGAATGGGAGGGACCACCTTTTACAGTCCCCCCTCACCTCCCTGCCAGGTTGATTCCCTCTCACCTTGTTGCTTGTGAGTGTCTTTTTGTATGGGGTTTTAAATCCTGTATGAACCTTTTAAGAAGGGGAAACATATCTTTATCACTGCCAGAGGGGAGGATTATATATTTTTTATTTTTCTTCTTTTTAATCCTTATCTGAGGATATGTTTATTGATGAGAGAGAGAGAGAGAGAGAGAGATCAATGTGAGAGAGAAACATCAATTGGTTGCCTCCTGTACACACCCCAAAACCTAGGTATATGTCCTGACCAGGGGTTGAACCCACAACCTTTTGGTGTATAAGATGATGCTCCAATCAACGGACCCACCCAGCCAGGGCTTTTTTTTTTTTTTTTTTTTTTTTTTTTTTTTTTTTAAGAATAAACAGTATGATCGTTTCCTTCCATCTAAGAATTTTCATCTTGAAATTCAAAGAAAGAGGGCCAGCTGCTTCTCAAGAAGTGTTGTTTCCCGCTGACCATGACCGTCACACAAACGCTTCTTGTTTTCCAGAGTTCGTTGTCCGGCGTACTGCAAAGACGAGCCATCCTACTGGGCTCCTGTGTTTGGCACCAACATCTATGCAGACGTGAGTATGCTGGCATTCAGTGACCACCTCTCAAAGCCTATTAAACCCTCAGAAACCACATTCCAAGGTCTGGATACCAGAAACCCCAGATCTCATTCCTGGGCCTCCCGCTAAATTTAGACCAGTCATTTCTGCAACCATCGCCCTCGTTTCCCACTTACAGGGCTATTTGTCTGGCTGCCTCTGGACGCGTCTGAATGCAGACACAGGGGTGCCTCACCACCCGCACATGCTTTCGTAGTTTGCTAAATCGAAGCCTGCCTTCCCCGTGGATACGCATCTTTAACCTGAAAGCTTTCATGTGTCACATACTTCACTTCCCAGGCACTCGGAGACCCTTCCGGCTCTCCTGGTGCGTTTCGAGACACGGGTGCACTCTGCTCACTTAGGCTGGGTATTCCCCGAGCGATGAGCACACAGAGGAAAATGCAAATCACACGGGTTATACCGGAGCCTGTTCTTCCATATTTCCCTCCTCACATTAGCAAGGAAGCTTCAGCCTGATTTTCCTTCAGTAAATCCTCCAGCTGCCCAGGGTTTAGGGACACGGTGACCCGGCAGATGGGAGGATGGCCGAGGCTCTGCCAAGCCATTTACCTCACTGTGACACAAGCCAGCTCAGGCTTTCTAGCCCAGGGAATCTTCCAGACCTGGATTTCCGTGATTAGATTAGCACCACTCATCCCCAGCCAGCGTTTCCACTCCCCTGCTTCTCGTCTTCCTCTCTGCGGTGCTCGCTCACACACTGTCGCCGTCTTGCCTTCATCGGTCTCTGTTTGCTCTGCGAGTGTGAGGACAGGAGTTCTGCGAGGTCAGAGCAGCCTAATGGCGAATGCTTTCCTGTCTTTTTTTCTTTCCTCCTTAGATGAGTCATTGTTTTTCCTCAAAAACTGCCTAGCCAACACTGAGTTCTAAAAGTTTAAAAAAGGAGTAAAATTACACACACACACATTATTATACTAAATATCTGAACCAAAGTCTGCTATTAGAAGACAGAGACTTTGATTTTTAAATGATTCCAAGTGATTCCAGCGAAATACACAGAAGCAAATAATACATACTTCTATCCTATAAAGTAGAATTGAAGGTTAAGCATACTGAGTGGGACAACACGATTCATTATGCAATGACACAAAAAGCATATCTATGAAGCTATGAACACTTAAGTCTACATGCACCAAACAAGATAGCAGCTAAATGTATATTAAAAAAACAAACAAACAAACAAACAAAAACAAGCCTTCCCCAAAGGGTAAGAAACATAAGAACTCGATACAAGTTGAGTGATAGCATAAAGCTGCCTTTCCCTATGTTTTAGGGTCTTTGAAAACACCACCTCCAGCTTTTGTTTCCTCATCTGACAGAGCAGAACAGTAAGGCTCAGAATAACCTGTCCCATAACCTGCCCCGAACCCCACAAGCTAGTACACGGCGACGTGGGATGCCACGAGGTGTGTCTTGCCTTCGGCTCTCCTCATTCCATCCCGTGGCGCCTGAATGTACCTGCACACATAGGTACACTGATGTAGCAGGCATGTGGTGGAGCCTGTGAGAAGGCTTGGACTCATTCTTCAGAGGTTAGCGAGGTGGGAACCACAGCGCTCACTGGCAGAGCTGGGCGCACGGCCAGCGCTCAGTGAACGTGTGTGGAAGAACGGAACAAACGGAGACACGCCAGTGGTCAGTACTCAGTCAGCTCTCCAGAAAGCCAGCGAAGGAAGGAGGGAAGGGAGAAAGAGCAGAGAGGAGGAGGCAGGGCGGGAAGCGGGAGGAGGGGAGGAAGAGTGCTACCTCCGTCCCAGAGGTCCTTTTCTGGCCTTGGTTTCTAGGTCACTCTGAATTCTGGGAAGTGGTGATGTCTTTCGGAAAATGTCTGTTTAGCTAAGAGATTTATTTTGGGAGCGTTGTCTCCAGATCTCCGAAGGGCCTCGCAGAGCCGCAGTCGCGGCCTGCTCACCCAGAGCGCTTGGCAGACCCCTCGCTCCGTGGGGAGCTGCGGGCAGGAGAAGCATCAGGGTGTAGCCCCAGCACAAAGTCTGGGTCAGAAGACAAGAAAGAGTCCAAGCCCCACCTGTGGCATTTGCTGGTTGGGGGATGGTGGGCAAACCCTGCCCCCCTCCGCCTCCCCCACTGAACCTCAGTTTCTTATCTGCCCTCCCTATCTCAGTGGTGGTTGGATTAGTTCTTATACTTATGCATCAGCATCCCCAGAGGGCTGTTCGAACAGACTTCCGGGCTCTGCCCCAGCATTTCTGACTCAGTGGGTCTGGGGTAGAGCCAGAGGCCGCCCCAGTGATGCTCACACACTGGTCTGGAGCGGCACTTAGAGGACCACCGGGTTAGAGATGACCGTCCCTTGAGAATCTTCAGTAATAGTGAGGGTGACAGAAATGATTGAGGTGGTGGTCTTTGTCTGGTTACCAAACTCCTACTGAGCTCTCACTGTGTGCAAGGCTGCACCCAGCCGTGGATCTTCCTCAGTCGGCACAACGGCCGGTTGATGAGGTGGCCCCTGGGCAGAGGGGGCAGCTTGCTGGCTCTGGGTGGCAGTCAGGGCTCTGCTGCTTGCCAGTTAATCTCCCCGAGCCCCAGGTTGCCCGACTGTCCAGAGGGGCTGCTCAGAACCCCTACGTCGCAGGGTTGTCGGGGGCTGACTGCATCGGTGCCTGTGAAACGCTTGGCACAGGGCCTGCCTTGGTGATGCTCAAAGCTGTAGCTGATCCCCCCTTTACATTGGAAAATAGAGATGCTGGGGCTTAACCTGGTCACCCAGGGCCACTCGGGCAGCGTGGGGGTGGCTCCCAGCCTCGCGGGGACAGTTGTCAGTAAACATTCCGATATTTGTGTTACTGGGGCCCCGCGAGGAGAAAAGGGACAGCCTGTACCTCGGTGAGAGGAGAGGTGTGGGAGAAAGCGGGGAGGAAAGGGATGAAGATGTGTGTGTAGATAAGGGAGAACACCGGGCCTATCGCGTGAGAAAGGGCCGCCATGGGTGTGAGGTTGGCATGGGCCAGCCCACGGCTCCGCGTGGCCTCTGGCATCCGGAAGTCCTCGGAGTGGAGGAAAGGCCTGTCGCAGAGGGCACACGGCCGGGGGCACCGCCTCTTGGCAGTAAGTCAGTCATGAGTCCGGCCCCCCAGGCAGGGGCGGCAGGAGGGCGGATGCGGGCAGCAGGGGTGTGGGTCCCCCCTGGAAGCGGCCCCAGGCTCCCCTTCTGGTAACTCGGGTGGCAGGGTGAGTAATACCGGGAGAGGAAGAAAAACATGCCAGTTCGCTGCCAGCGAGAGCAAAAAAGGGCGCTGTGCTCACTGACAAAGCTCGCCCGCCGTGCGAGTGTAGAGGCGTCCGATCATGCTCGTTTCTTTCCCGTCTCCCTGCCGCCCTGCGGTGGCTGTCAGGGGGCTGCTTCTTCAGCTTCGAGGGCACAGACTCTGTTGAGAACTGGAGAGTTGTGGGTCCTTCCTCTGGGGTGGTGACAGGATGCCTGGGACTGAGCGGCTTCCTGGGCTCAGTACGGCCCCGGGAAGGTTCTTGCTGGCCCGACAGGCGCCCAGAGCTCTGCCTGCACCTCCAGGGCCTCACAGACCCTCTCGGCGCACCTCGGGCTAAGGAACCCGCCCTCGTTCGCTTATTCATTGAAGAAGATAAGATGTGTAGGGGCAGGCCTTAAGAATCTGGCCTTCAGTTAAACCAGGTAAACCAATCATGGGAAGCAAGAAGTCCGGTTCTCCAACACTTAGTATGAATGTGCGTGGGCTCTGGGCTGTCCACCTTTTTTTTTTTTTTTTTTTTTTAAATCCTCTCCTAAGGATTCTTTGATTTTAATCAATTTCCATTGATTCTTAGAGAGAGTGGAAGGGAGGGAGGAGAAGAGAGAGGGAGAGGGGGAGAGAGAGATCAATTGGTTGCCTCCCACATGGACTGTGACCCAGACTGGGGATTGAGCCTGCAACCGAGGTACGTGCCATTGACCAGGAACCAAAACCATGACCCTTTAGTCTGCAGGCTGGCACTCTAACCATTGAGCAAACCGGCCAGGGCACTCTCCACCTTTTTAACAGCAAGCTAACTTTCCAGGGGACAGGCAGCGACGGGTCTTCTGCAGGAAACATTTTTCTTCTTGTGCAAATCAGCAGCTTCTCTGGAATGAACTGGTGTTTTGAAGGATGAGGCAGTGGCTGAAGGGCAGATCTGGAGGGCGGAACCCCCTCTCCCCTCACTGGCACCTAGAATAAATCCAGACTCATGCTGTGGTCCTCACAGCCCCTAGTGACTGGCCCCTGCTCACCTCTCCCACCTCTCCCCAGGGCCTTTGCACAAGCTGCTTCCTCTGCCTGGGATGCTCTGCTGCCCTGAGCTGTTGCCATGGCTGTGGTTGGCTCCTTTTTGTCACTCAGATCTAAGTGCAAATGGCCCATTTTCCCTGATTAACCGGCCTAAAAATGCCCCGCCACTTAGTCATGTTATCTCACGGTCTGGTTTTATTTGTTCATAGCCCGAGTTATTTGTTTTTGAATTTGTTTACTTGTCTCCCTTCACTCTGTGAAGGCAAGGTCTTCGTTTCGTTCCCTGTGGAATCCCCCTGCATCTAGGACAGGGCCCAGCACACAGTGGGTGTTCAGGACATCTTTGTTGAACAAATGAATGAACGAACGAATGAATGAATGATGGCAGGTCTCTCTGGAGAGACCACTGAGGAATCAAGGTAGTGATGGTCCTTTCCTCAAGGTTGACATGGCCACCAAGCAGGAGGCTGACCTTCACCCTGGAGCCTGGCCCCTTGACATTGACCACAGCTCCTCCTGTGCTTTCAGACTTCGAGCATCTGTAAGACGGCCGTGCACGCGGGAGCCATCAGGAACGACAGCGGGGGCTACGTGGACGTGATGCCCGTCGATAAGAAGAAGACGTACGTGGGCTCGCTCAGGAACGGGGTCCAGTCTGAAAGGTAGGACTGCGCTCCTCACCTCTCCACACCCAGAGCCGGCAGGGGTGCCCCTGGGGGTCAGCAGAGGGCCCAGGATGGTGCCCGTTAAGATGAAACTTGGGCGGACTTGCAATGTTCTTATGAGAACATCCAGGAAAAGCCTGTACTTTCCTCTTCCTTTCTCTTTTCAGAGTAGGAGCTTGTCTCTTTCTATTACCAATGCATGATTTTTTAGAAAATTTAGGAGCATCAGAGGAGTCCATAGGAAAACAGCCACCATCACCCGCCACCTGGGGGAGTTGCTGTTAGATTTTTGGTGTCTAACCCTGTGGTCCTTTTCTATGTGTGTATGTGAACCTACCTCTCCTGCCCCCCACAAACAGTGGGTTCCAATTATAGTTACACTAGAGGACACTTTGTACACTCGGGGCAGTGTGTTCCTCAGCCCGGCCTGCCCTCTCGCAGTCCAGGGGATGTCCACCTGCCACCTTAGGCCTGATCCCTGAGAAGCCAGGCTCACTGCTCCTTAGCACTGCCTCGCAGGCGGGAGAGGCTCCCTCCACCACCACTGCACTTGCCAGCGGTGAGCCCGGCTTCTGGCTGAGAGGCACTCCCCTTGTGAGAATACACTGACCACCAGGGGGCAGCTCCTGTGTTGAGCATCTGCCCCCTGGAGGTCAGTGCACATCATAGTGATCGATCATTCTGGTCATTCCACCATAACGATTGCTGGGCTTTTATATATATATATAACGTGGTTCAATATGGCTCCATAATAATGTACTTACATATCCTATATAATAAAGAGGAAATATGCTAATTGCATCACACCCTCACAAACATGGCAGCACCCACAGCCAATAAAGAGGAATATGCTAATTGACTCCCACACCCTCACAAGATGGCGGCACCCAGTCCTCTCAGCCCTGCTTCTTCCAGCCGGAGTCCCCCAGTCCCTTCAACCCTGCAGGGGAAGGCATTTGGGGGCGATCCGGCTGGCAGGGGAAGGCAGCTGGGGACGATCATGCTGGCAGGGAAGGAGTTAGGTGTCAATCAGTCCAGTTGAGGAGCAGTTAAGGGGTTATCAGGCAGGCAGGCAGGTGAGTGGATAGGGGCAATCAGGCAGGCAGATAGGCAAGTGGTTAGGAGCCAGCAGTCCCGGATTATGAGAAGGATGTCCAAGGGGTTCCAAATTGGAGAGAGTGCAGGCTGGGCTGAGGGACACCACCCTCCCCATCACAAATTTCATGCACCAGGCCTCTAATTGTTACATAAATGAGAGCAGAGAGTCTGGAGGCTCTGCTTCTTACTAGCTTTGTGACCTTGAACTGCCGCCTGATTTCTTTGAGCCTCAGTTTTTTCACTTATGATATGGGGATAACAACAGCCTCTACCTCACAGGGTGGTAGCAGGATTTGCTGAGAGGATGCCCAGCTCTTTTTACAAGCACACCGGTCATACTGGGGCAGGACCTGCCACAATGACCTCACCTTAATCTAAGTACAGCTTTAGAGGCCCATCTCCAAGTACAGCCCTGAGGGTGCTGGGGTCGGGGCTTCAGTACGTGAACTGGGGAGGGGGCTCAATGCAGCCCATAACACAGGGGCATGCTGAAGACTTTACATTTGAGGGCCCTCTTTAGAAAAGGTGTATAAATCAAGAACACAAGATGCGCTAAGGCGGCCCCTTGGACCTTAAGGTCTCATGGCTCCATCCTCTGGTCTCCCCCCCCCCCCCCCCCCCATCCTCCCAGAGCGCGCTGAGCCTCCGGGCGGAGCTGTGCGTGGAGACCTTTGCGGAATCCCATGATGGGAATCGCACACGCTGCACAGTCACTGCCCTCAGCCCCGGAAGCTACAGCTAACGGCTCACGCAATTTCTCCCTCCGCGTTTGCAACCTTTGTTTGGGAAAAGCTTAATGAAGGGAAATTCCACTGATTTAACGGGAGGGAAATGAAGCCGCTGATGAGGTGGAATTTCCTGGCCAGGCTGGGAAGAAATCCCAGGACACCAATCCATCTAGCCCTTTAAGAGAAAGCGGCATGGTGGGCCGGCCTTTGTTCTCGGCCTATGCCATCCTGAGGACATCTCCGCAGCTCCCAGGGCTGCAAAAGGGCTTAGTGTGTGGCCTCCCAAAGGGGGGTGTCTGGGGAGGGTAGAGGACCTAGATAGGGTCTCAGAATGGGCTTCTTGTTCACTGTGACGCTCCCCTCCCCAGGGGGGCCCATCATTCATGCTCTCTCCCTGGGGACCCACCTGAACAGCCACTCTCATTGTGAGCGTCGGCCAGGCAGCCTTGCCCAGGCCCGACGTGGCTGCAGCCCGCTGCCGTGTCCAGAAGGTGTTAGTGACTTTCAGAAAGGGTCAGTGAGCTTCCATAGCGCCCCCATAGCGGCGACTCTGCTCCCCTTCTTCCCCGGGCTCTTCCCTGCCCCTCACCCCGCATCCTACAGTCTGGAATCTGTGATGATGTTTGCTTAGGTTCCTCCATTTTCTGTGCTTCGGCTTCCTCACCTGAAAGGGGGAAATGATAGCTCCGACCCCTGAGTGGTGGTGAGGTTTGGGGAACTCGTTGTGGGCTCCCCAGGCCCTCAGCGAACCCGTCAACCGGGCTCTGGTTAGAAGAGCAGATCCTCGGGCCACCTCAGACCCGCAGAGTCAGAAACTGGCTGTGACCCGCCCTCGGGGGTCCTGAGGCACACTGGAGGGCGAGGACCCCTCTGTAAGGGTGATGGAAGGGCACCGTGTCCCTGGCACACGTAGCCAACACTGTACCTGATTCTGACATGTTGCCCTTAAGAGTCTTCATTTACTACACGTGGTGCGCCAGGACCTGCACGGGGTCCATGGCACCCAGATGTCAGGGTCCACCCTGCATGGACGGAGGGAAGAGGCTGGGCCAGAGGGCACAGAGGGCCGTTGGCATTTGGGACCCTGGTGCACTGTGTGTCCTTGGGGAGGCAGTCTCCCCCAGCCGAGGTCCTGCTGCATCAAATGGTTGCCATGACGATGAATGAGATGGTACGTGCTCGTAGGCATGGCTCATAGTCAGTGTCCAATGAGGCTGGTGGCCCTTCTCCCTGTGGCATACCTTTTCAGGTTTGCTGTGCACCTCACGATGTTAGAAACAGCCTTAGATATATTACCTTTCAGGACAAGGAAGAGGCTTTAAGGAATTCAGTCTTTCCTCTTGTATCCGTTCTCCCTATATGCATTCACATCAGATGCCTTATGCGGGGCGAGCCCGATTGTCCAGGCACCAGGGTCAGCAGGGAACCCGGCCTGCCCTTCGCCCTCCTGGGTCTTGTAGTCTGGTCGGGGGACAGATATGGAAATATTGTAGTGGCGGGGCACTCGGTGGTTCTGTTATAGAAGGAGGTTCAGGGAGCTGGTTGTGTCTAGCAGGACCCCAGCTTACCGTCCAGACGCGCCCGCTTGGTGACGTGGCTGCAGCAGATGCGTGGACATCTCCATCGTGGCCCTGCCCCATCTCCCCGTGTTCAGATGGGACCTCAGCCGCCCTCTACACAGATCCCAGGCTGAGACATTTCCCCAGAGCCTGTCCCCTTAGGGCAGTGGTCAGCAAACCCATTAGTCAACAGAGCCAAATAGCAACAGCACAACGATTGAAATTTCTATTGAGAGCCACATTTTTTAAACTGAAACTTCCTCTAACGCCACTTCTTCAAAATAGACCCGCCCAGGCCGTGGTATTTTGTGGAAGAGCCACCCACAAGGGGCCAAAGAGCCACATGTGGCTCTAGAGCCGTGGTTTGTTAACCACTGCCTTAGGGAATGTGGGGAACAATTTGGGGCCAGAGGGTGGCTCTGTCCCCAGTGTCTGCTGGGACCCTGGAGTGGTCACATCCGGTCTCAAGGGAGATGTGGGCCCTGGCCATTATTCCCAGCGAACTGGGTTCTAAATGTAGGGAATCTTTCAGTCACTCAAACCAACAAAACTCCTGAACAGCACTGCCAGCACGCGGCCAAAAGTTGGTTCTGCTTCGAAGTGGCATCGGTTTACGGGTAGGGAATGTCTGGCCCTCGGGCCATAGAAGGCCTGAGAAATCATTTGTTCTGGCCCTGCCAAGGCATTGGGATGAGTTGGTTACATGTTTGACCAAATATGGCAGGCTAATTTTTAGGCTGATAATTTTGTATGGCCTGAAAATGATGATAGAAGTACCCCCGTGGCCCTTGGCAGGAAAAGGCTTCCACCTCTGGTCCAGAGGAGGCTTCCCTGAGCGTTGTGAAAGGTGACCGTGCCGAACTGGGACAGCGTATGGGGACAGGCACCTTCTCTCACACGCTGCCCGGGGAGGAGAGCAGAGGAAGGAAAGGACGTCAGAAAGAGCTTTTGGTGTGGGGACTGGGCTTCGTGCAGATATTCTGAGGAAGAAGCTGGACATCTGGGTGAATATCAATCAATTCAAGACGTTTTCTTAAACCAGGACCATTTTTAAAGACAGATTTCACAAGGAGATTGAGAAATATGCCAACGGTGACATGGACAATTCCTCGACCCCTCCCAGGACAGGTCACCCTGCTCCCGGAACTGCCAGCTGTCCTCTCTCTAATCCAGTCTGTGTTGGGCGGTGCCAAATGGGGATCTTCTCACTGACAGGGGAAGCCTCTAAGTTTGCAGCTCCCTGTGGACCTGCAGGCCCTGCCTCCAAGGGGCTCCCACTGCCATCTGGTTCTCCCAGACTATTCATTTTCAGGGATGGCCTGGCCACAGCCTGTCCATTTCGGATGATGGTTAGGAAGGGGTCCCACATTCTGAGTCCATATCCCACTGCACCTGGAACAGGTGTGTCACATGAAGCAGATGGGGCACCTTTCAGAGCCGTGGTTGTCCTGGAAGAACCGTAGAGATCCCGAGGGGGTGCCTGCAAGGAATGGATGGACAAGTGAGGTCTTGATGGATGCAGGCAGCATCTGCTGGGCAGAGCTGCTGGCACAGGGTGAGTGTTAGCGGCAGGGGCAGGGTGACGGCCATCAGAAGCTGGGGAGTCATTCACCAGGCGGAGACCGGGGACACCCCCGAGGCCACAGACCTTTCCCAGAGCACCTTGTCACGGCTGGTCTGGTAGGTCAGAGGCTCCTCATGCGCTGAGTCAACCAAAGGGAACTCCCCAGAAGCTCCCCAGGCCAACTCAGCTCCTGCAAATTCTGTGGGGAATTTTCCTGTTGGTTTCCTCCCCCCTCTTCCCTCCCTTCCTTTTCTTTCTTTCTTTTTCCTTCCTCTCTCTTTCCCCTCCTTTCTTCTTTTTAAGATAAGATTAGAGAAACTTCAAAAAAAAAAATACGGTATCTAATATTAAGAAATTACTGTCATTGAAACCCCAACACCTAGGAGGGAGCTACTAAACACCCTGGTATGCTTCTTCCGGTTTTTTTCTGATTACCCACAAGCACCTTCTTTTTAATTTTTTTAAATTTTTATACAATGGGACTGTGCTGTCTGTCTCATCCTGTTGATTCCTCAGTCAGCCACAGGCTGTGAGTGTCTTTCCACGTTAGGCTTGTTGCGGCCACACTGTTGTCTCTGTGGCTACATGCTGTTCCCTTGTGTGGACAGACTATCATTTCTTCACCCGGTCAGAGGACAGAGGTGTCGCTTCCTCTTTTCTTTTATTAAACAACACGGCAAAGAGCATCTTTGCACAACCCTTGTGCTTTATTGACACTTTCTTTAGGTAACTTCCTTTTGGTAGAACAGCCACGGCCCCCACGTGGATCTCTCTATATAATGCACAGGATGTCTCTCTCTCTCTGCTGTTTGAACCCTGGCCCCAGTGGCTCTCCACTGCAACAGAGAACAAAACCTCTCCTCTTACCACGCAAGGGCACGCCTGCGCCAGCCCTGCCCACTTCTGCGCCCTCTCTTGGTGCATTGCTCCTCCTCAGCACAGCACTGCCCTCACCAGCTTTCTCTCTGTTCCTCGAACATGCCAAGGTCACTCTCACCGAGGGCCTTTGCTCCTGCTTTATCCAACCCTGGACGCTCCCAGATCCTCTATGGTCCTGTGGCTGCCCCCCCCCCCCCCCTTGTCATTCAGATCTACACACAAAGGCCACCTCCCCGAGGAAGCATCCTTCTATCCGCTGACCTCCTCCCAGATCTGGTGTGATCCCGTTGTCCTGGGTTTTATTTCCCTCCCAGAACCCGCCTCTCTCTGAAATTATTGCCTACATATATTTAGCTGCTTATTCTCCCCCCCCACCCTCCAGCAAGCTATAAATGATATGAAGGGAAGAACCCCATTAGTTTTGCTAACACCATGTCCCCAGCACCCAACCCAGTGCCTGGCACATAGTAGGCATTCAGTCAACATTGGTCGAATGACAGACAAATTGCTGGGGTCAGCAGTTTGTTGAGAACTAATTGAGGGATTTTTAATACCCTTGATATGAAAATTGCTCAATATCTTTTATGAAAATTGCCTAGAAATGCTTTATCAATTTACACTCCCTTCCCATATGGATGGGAGTTACAAGCTAATCCAAAAATAGAATCAGAGGGCAAGATTTAGGAAACGAGGTTACCGTATAATTTCTCAAATCACACTCATTTCAAAATGCACAACTGTCGGCTTCCCTGGGGAGCCTGGTGCTCAGCGAATATTGAGGTGTGCACAAATGGACCCACTGAAGGTTTTGAGCAACCAAATGGGGCTGGGTGGGGGTGAGGGGGGATTCTCTGCCCGTGGCAGTGCGTGGGCCACACTGGCGTGGTGCAGTCAGCACGGCGACTCATGTGCTAATGAACACACGCCAGTTCAGTGGGCCTGCTCTTGCCTCTGAGCGGGATGAGCTGTTCAGTGGGGCTGCTGGTAGGTCCAGGAAGATGTCCAGGTGCCTTGGGGTACCTGTCTGGACGACAGCCTGAATGACTCCCTGGTCCCTGGGTTGTTTGGGGCCCTGGGAATGGGAGAACCCCCTGCCCCATCAGGAGCCAGAGGAGACCCAAACCCTGGTCATTTTCCCCAGTGTGGTTGGCCCACCGTGTGGAAGAGCCAGCTGCCTTGTGGCTCCGGCTGGTTCTCCCAGACTCTTCATTTGGGCGAAGAATCCAGGGAAATCTTGCAACTGGAGGCCTGAGGAGGGTCTGCAATCTGAGCTCCCCAGAAACCAGCAGGGCAGCCAGGGGTAACCCAGCCCCTGTGTGGCCACTCTCCCTCTGAGTCGTCCACTGGATGGCTGGCTCCCAGGCCACGGGGCCAAGCATCTTGCTCTTTCTGAGCCCTTGGCCTTCCCTCACGGCTCCAGCTCGCCAAGGGCTCCTATCGGATCCACATTTCAAAAGTTCAATCCCAGGGTAGCCAAAAGCCTGGACTTGCCATGGGGAAAGGGGAAAAGGGGAGGAATTCCCAGCAGCCTGTTCCCGGAGGATCCCTGACCTTGCGAATAGCCCGAGAGGGCGAGGCCAGCTCTCTAGTCCAACAGTTTCCATTCTGGAGGGGGCACTCTGAGGAAGTCATGCTTGGATCATGCTGGGCTTTCATCTTACACTCCAACACATTCATAATGAGCAAAATGCAAATTTAAACGATTTGGATGCCATTCCCCGGTTTAGATCGGCTGAGAACACAAAGCTGGATGATTTGCTTGGTTGATAGGAGTTGTCAATTGGTACAGTCTTGATGGAGGGCAATTCGGTGAGCTTCCAAAATTACAAATGCCCACAACCTTTGGTCCAACCATGTCACCTCCAGGAGCTTATCCATAGGCTCCCTCCTACATATGTAAAAAGCCATGGATAAGGTTGTTCTCCTTAGCACTGTTTGCAAAAACAAGAGATCAGAAATAACTAAATACCTATTTAAAAGGGCTGTTACCTATAGTGTGATACTTCAATAGAACAGAAGACTATGCAGTTGAATTAAAAAGCCTGAGAAAGGTCTCTATGGGCAGACAGCCACCAGCAATGACTGGAAGACAGTAGCACCTGTTGGGGAGGGTGTGAAGACAGTGGAACCCCTCAGGGATTGCTGGTGGGAATGTAATAGATGCAGCCGCTGTGGGAAACCAGTTTTTAAGAAAATTTTAAACAATTTTTTAAGAAATTGGAGAGGCCATTTAACATACAACCCAGCAATTTTGCACCTAGTTTTCCACCCAAAAGAACTGAAAACCAATGCCCGCACAAGCACTTGTCTCTGCATCCACTCCATTCATCAGTTCATTTTGTTAATTAGATTCCACGTGAGTGAGATCACATGATACTTGTCTTTCTCTGACCTACATGTTTCACTTAGATAGCAGCATTATTTATAATAATCAAAGGTGGAATCTAAATGTCTATCAACTGAAGAATGGGTACACAAAAGTGGTATATCCACATATTGGAATATTATGTGGCAATAAAAAGGAATGAAGTACTGACTCTTGCTACAACATGGATGAACCTCAAAAACTTTATGCTAGGTGAAATAAGCCACCCACAAAAGGCCACATAGTGTAGGATTCCATTTCCATGAAATGTCCAGAATAGGCAAATCCATGGAGAGAGAAGTTCCCAGGGCCTAAGAGGAGGGGAATCTATAATAATAAAAGTAGAATATGCTAGTTAGTCCAGATAGCTGAACAACCTTCTGGACATTATTCCCGACAAAGCCGTGGTGGCAGGGGCCGAGGCAGAGGTGGTTAGGGGCCATCAGGCAAGCAGGCAAGCAGTTAGGGCCAGTCAGGCAGGCAGAGTGGTAAGGGGTGATCAGGCAGGCAGGCAGGTGAGTGATTAGGAGCCAGCAGTCCAGGATTGCGCGAGAGGGATGTCCAACTGCCAGTTTAAACCAGCAATTGGACATTCTCCGAGGGGTCCCAGATTGCAAGAGGGTACAGGTTGGGCTGAGAGACCACCCTCCCTATGCACGAATTTTGTGTACCAGGCCTCTAGTTGATTATAAATGGGCATGAAAGATCTTTGGGGTGGGTGAGGGAGTGATTGTAATGATTTAAAATTAGATTGTGAGATGATTGCACAATCTCCTTGCCTGCAAAATGGGATACATAATGGTACATACTTGGGGAGGAAGGTAAAAAGGCGTATGCAAAGTACTTTGCACAGTGCTCGGCACAAAAATCTGAGTGCATTCGGTGTGCCCATTTTAATGATAGCAGCACATGCATTATTGTTATAATGCCAACTGGTTAATCGGTCAGCCAGATGGCCCCTCTTTGGGTTGACAGGTGTTAGCAAAAACCAGGCAGGAGTTTTGGAGGGTGAATTCAATTCAGACAGACTGGGGCCAGTAAGTCCCAGAGTTAAAAGAAAATAACTTAACAACCCTGACCTAGATTCAGACCCAGGCAAAGAGAATGGAATTTGCCAGCTGTTCCTGGCCGGGGCGGACTCTGTTTCCAGCAGCTGTGGAGAAGCGTCCCTCCGCCATGGTCCTTCCCCCACGGGGACACGAGGGACACCCAGCCCAAGCCCCTGTGGAAATCCACCCTTCCGCAGATAACACGCCCTCCCCTTCTTTTGCAGCTTGGAGGCGGCTCGGGACGGAAAGGCCTTCCGGATCTTTGCTGTCAGGCCGTGAACGTGCAGCGCCGGGGCGAAGGGGGTCTTCCAGAGGGCGTCTGGGTTTTGCTTTTTGTTTTTATTTTATCATTTGGGGGTGGGCTGGGGACATGGAGTGGCAGGAAGCTTCCTTTGAGTGAGTGGTGTTCGGTGTCACATCCTTGGTGCCTTGATTTCATCTCTGGGCCGTGGAGACACAGCATCCTCTGGGGCCTGGCCGGACAGCTGGCGACTGGTGCTGCCGAGGCCTGGCGGCCTCCATCCGCTGCCCGCTCTGCTCAGACAGTCGCTCAAGAGGCTCCTCCTCATGTAGTCTCCTGGGGAGAGAGGATTCCAAACGCGTGGAGAGAGCACCGTTCTCGGGGATCCCGGGGTGCAGCCTCCAGGGGTGCAGGAAGAGGCAGACTGAGCCCACGCAAGGGGAGTTTCAGGAATGGGGTAGAAGGTAGTTATTAAAAAAAAAAAAAAAAAAAAAAAAAAAAAAAAAAAAAAGATTTAAAACACAGTCCGTTCATATCAATGGAGAAAAATGAGTTTAGTGTTTGCTGGTCAGACAAATGGGCCGGAACAGGGGGCTGGGGAAGCGAGACTCAGGCTCTGCCTTGGCAACTGTCCCGGCTGGCGTCCTGCCACGCGCAGGCGGATTCTATATACAGCAGTGCTGGTTTATTTAGAGTTCAATAGTAACTCCAGAGGTTTATCTTGTCTTTGTCCTTCCCTTCGCCCATGTGGCCGTCCGCTGTCCTGACGTTTGGTCTCGTTGAGGACTAATGAACCAGGATCCTTTCTTTACCCCCTCCCCATTGTGGCTCACACACCGGCCCAGACTAGTTTAGGTGTCATAGTTCACAACGGGGTATTTGCTTTGCAAGGGATTCTGTTTGAAGCCCACTTTTTTTTTTTTTTAAACTCCTCATCTCTGTTGGTTTCACCGAGATAGCTAAGAACAGCCGAAGAAGAGGTGTTTGGTTGCTGCTTTTAAAAAATGACAATTAAACGTGCAGATTCGCCGTCTGTCTGGTGACCTACTTTTTAGCAGTGGGAGGAATGGATTCCTTGGTACCTTCTTCGCCGAGGTTAGCAGCGCTGGGAAGAGGAACAGCCTGTGGTTATGAAATGGTCCTGCGGCCTCATAACCACAAGAGAGAGTAACACTCGAGAAGGATTCCTCTTCCTGTTTTTGTGGAGCAGCTCTTGCCAAATGTTCCTGAGACTCCGAGGAGTGTGGTGCTCTCTGGCTTCCTTCACTTTACAAACGTTCTTCATGAGCCCAGACCGAAACCCACAGGGAAATAAAATACCCCTTTTTAAACAGTGTTTCTTTGCAGAAGGTAAAATTCCACCCTCCAGCATCAGGCTGGCCAATAGATCACTTTGGTGGACACCAGTTTCAAATTTGATTTCACTCCCCATCAAAATATTTCACAGGCAAAGGAATCACCAGAAAACACACA